CACACCAGGCAAAGAAAGCTTCTTGCTCTTCAGCCAACCATTGCCCCAAGGTCTGCGGACCTTGAACAGGAACACCTTCAGGTGGCTCCAACGCATCGACCGCATGGCCTTCTGCAGGCGAATCATCCGCAGAAGATGGCACTGACAAAACATCGTCCACGGACCTCACATCAAGGCCATGAACCAAATAAACAAGACAGTTTTCCTGCACGGTGGCTACACAGAATTAAAGACATCCCACACCAGAGAAGTGCTGGCCGAGAAACGCATCTAGCACCACGGCGGAATTCGTGATGGCATCCAAGGTATTCATCTGAATCAGATGCCAACCTTACACGTGACATGACCCATTGGGGACAAGAATCTAAAGACGATTTCTTCATGTTACCATCTCATTATTGGTTTAAACATCATACCATCATGAGACCATGATCCAGGTTTTATTATTTACACGATCGATCAAAACTTATCCAGGAATCCCCACATTCATGGTTTTGAATATTATTTTTCCAACATTCTCCCAAGAACGAATTTCACCCCAACCATGAATCATGAAGCTGCATGATTGCTACAACCAATATCTCCGCAATACAAGAATCTGACCGTCAAAATCACATCATTGACAAAGAATAAGTAATGGAAACCCTCAAAAAACCCAAAACACCTGTATTATTATTGCTTACACACAACAAAACTAACACATCAACATGAAGATTCCATAAAAACATCTGCATTAACCACTCTGCAACCAATCCAGAATTTGTGTATATCTATATATATATATATACAGTATATATATATACATACGCGTTTTTTTAAATTAATATATATATATATGTTATATGTAGATATTTTTTTTGTAACTCGATATGGCTGTGACAGTACTGCTGTCTCTGCTGAGGCAAGGTCTCTGGAAGAAGAATGAAATTATATGCATTATCTTTTTATCTCGGGTTTCGAACCATGTGTTTTGGAACTACCCAGGCACTCTTGCGTTTCCTTGTATGCGGACTGTCTTCCACACGCATAGGACTAGGCATACCTTCGTCCAGATAGTCGAGGAATACCTGAGGAAAGTGAAGATATAGAGAAATCCCTGATTCTGCTGCGCAGCAACAAATGGTTTTTTAAAAAAAACGCTGACCCATATGCAAAGGAGAAACCAAATCATCTTCACCAGCAGCAGAGCTTCGAGCAGAAGACGCTGGCCGCACACTCTGTTGCACAGGAGCGGGCCTAGGAAAGATTCGCGCGAAAAAAAAAAGGAAGCCAAAGAACACTACCCCCGAAGATGCGTACAAGAAACCGCAGTGGAGATCTGGAGCGAGACTTTGAGCGTGGAGTAGTGTCACCGGAGCGAAACCTCAAAAGGCAACCAAAAAACAGACACCATCAAACACAGCAAGTACACGTTAACGCATGCGAATGCAAAACCAATGAGGCCCAGAAACACATCTGGCGGAAGATTTGCCACTGCGTCCATGGCTGCGTACACGGAAGACGGAAGGACCGAGGAAGAACGAAAGCGAGAAAAGCGACGAGCGAAAATCAGGAGAGCACCGGTGACCACTGGCGAAGGACGTAGAGACCAACTAACGTTAAACCAAAAACGAGACAAGGCACGCACGTGAGGCAAGACACGTAGCCAAGGAAAGACACCAGAAGGATCCCCACACACAACTTGAGAAGACCAACAAATATCGGATCCAGTAAACACGGAACAAAAAGAATCTTGATGAGAATCAAGAAAAGACACAGGAAGTTGCCACAAGGAAGTTAGCTCCAAACAAAACAAGGGACACGGAACACGAGACAAACGACACAACAAAACAAAAGACAAACCAACCCCAACAGAAAAAACTTGACCAGGAGCGGGAAGAGGCCACATTCCCTCCAAAACTGAAGCCCATAAGCAGCGGAGTTTTCAAAGAATGAACGGTGCAAATGATGCATGCAAAAATGAGCATCATATTATTATTATGCCGACATTCACCATCCACCAGTTTTCAAGACAAAAAAGATCAAAAGAACGACAAGTGCTGCTAGAGAAACCTAGCAGTAGCGTAGCATGACGTATGTGTGGAAGTGCAAGAGAAACCTAGCAGTAGCGTAGCATGACGTATGTGTGGAAGTGCCAGAGAAACCTAGCAGTAGCGTAGCATGACGTATGTGTGGAAGTGCCAGAGAAACCTAGCAGTAGCGTAGCATGACGTATGTGTGGAAGTGCAAGAGAAACCTAGCAGTAGCGTAGCATGACGTATGTGTGGAAGTGCCAGAGAAACCTAGCAGTAGCGTAGCATGACGTATGTGTGGAAGTGCCAGAGAAACCTAGCAGTAGCGTAGCATGACGTATGTGTGGAAGTGCCAGAGAAACCTAGCAGTAGCGTAGAATGACGTATGTGTGGAAGTGCAAGAGAAACCTAGCAGTAGCGTAGCATGACGTATGTGTGGAAGTGCCAGAGAAACCTAGCAGTAGCGTAGCATGCCGTATGTGTGGAAGTGCCAGAGAAACCTAGCAGTAGCGTAGCATGACGTATGTGTGGAAGTGCCAGAGAAACCTAGCAGTAGCGTAGCATGACGTATGTGTGGAAGTGCCAGAGAAACCTAGCAGTAGCGTAGCATGACGTATGTGTGGAAGTGCCAGAGAAAACCTAGCAGTAGCGTGAGCAGTGACGGATTGTGTGGAAGTTGCCATGAGAAACCCTAGCAGTAGCGTAGCATGACGTATGTGTGAATGTGCAAGAGAAACTAGCAGTAGCGTAGCATAACGTATGTGTGGAAGTGCAAAAGAAACCTAGCAGTAGCGTCGCATGACGTATGTGTGGAAGTGCAAGAGAAACCTAGCAGTAGCGTAGCATGACGTATGTGTGGAAGTGCCAGAGAAACCTAGCAGTAGCGTAGCATGACGTATGTGTGGAAGTGCCAGAGAAACCTAGCAGTAGCGTAGCATGACGTATGTGTGGAAGTGCCAGAGAAACCTAGCAGTAGCGTAGAATGACGTATGTGTGGAAGTGCAAGAGAAACCTAGCAGTAGCGTAGCATGACGTATGTGTGGAAGTGCCAGAGAAACCTAGCAGTAGCGTAGCATGACGTATGTGTGGAAGTGCCAGAGAAACCTAGCAGTAGCGTAGCATGACGTATGTGTGGAAGTGCCAGAGAAACCTAGCAGTAGCGTAGCATGACGTATGTGTGGAAGTGCCAGAGAAACCTAGCAGTAGCGTAGCATGACGTATGTGTGGAAGTGCCAGAGAAACCTAGCAGTAGCGTAGCATGACGTATGTGTGGAAGTGCCAGAGAAACCTAGCAGTAGCGTAGCATGACGTATGTGTGGAAGTGCCAGAGAAACCTAGCAGTAGCGTAGCATGACGTATGTGTGGAAGTGCCAGAGAAACCTAGCAGTAGCGTAGCATGACGTATGTGTGGAAGTGCAAGAGAAACCTAGCAGTAGCGTAGCATGACGTATGTGTGGAAGTGCAAGAGAAACTAGCAGTCGCAAAGAACGTTGACATCCCCCCCCCCCACCCCCCCACCCCCCCCAATGACAAGAAGAACATAGAACATATAAAAAATGAAGACAGCCCACGGCCCCTTAACAGCGCCGACACCAAAAACATGACTCCCGCCCTGGAGGTTAGTTCGTGACAGTTTTTATTTTGTTTAAATGAGTTGAAATATCCGAATGGCTGGTTGCTGGCAAGCTTTTTTTTGGTCCTGGTTGGTGGTTTGGAACATTTGGATTATTTTTCCCATCATATTGGAAATGTCATCATCCCAACTGACTTTAAGTCCATCATTTTTCAGAGGAGTAGGTCAACCACCAACCAGAATTGAACATGGCCATAGAAATAGTTGATTTACCCAGCTATAAAATGGTGGATCTTTCCATAGTTCTTCGGTCACATCCACATCATCCAGTTATGTATTAAAACATAGGGATTTAATGGGATTTCATGATAGTTAATGGGATATAATGGGACTTAAAGGGATATACCCTCTGGTTATTTAACATCAGATTATTATTAACCATCATTAACCATATATTAACCACATATTCACCACAATTTGGAACCTCATTCTATATTAATTGGGTTTTATTATTTTAAACATATATATATATATAAACCCAGCCTATATATTAACCCAGCCTATATATTAACCATATATTAATCATATATTAACATCAGATTATTATTAACCATCAGTATATTAACCATCCACATCATCAACGGTTGTCTCAGGTGAGGCTGCGCTGGAGACTTCGGGCGAGAGATCCCTGGCCACGAGATCCCAAATCACTGTGGATGGCATCCCCAAGGCCAGGTGACCAGGTGGCGGCTGGGAAACCATGGGAAATCCTAGGAAAACCATGGGAAAACCAGCGGAAAACCGTAGGAAAACCAGCGGAAAACCACAGGAAAACCGGAAAACCATGGGAAATATGGGCAACAGTTCGCTGTGAACATCATCGGTAAGTAATTGGATTTTCCAGCCATCTTTGGTGACCAAAGGGTATCAGCCGGTATCAGTGAACAATCCCCATCCCCCAATAGAATCATCGGGCAGTATCAGTGAATATCCTATTTATGCCAACCACAAGTTATCCGGATTTTTCTTGCAACTTTCAAGGCACAAATGATGCTGAAATGTGACCAAACAGTTCAGTGAGAAACGGATGAAATGTGCCTGAAGCTCTAGACACGAGGTTCTGGAAGGTGGTGAACACAACGTCCACGTCACGGTTGGTGAACACAACGTCCACGTCACAGTTGCAGGATGCTCACTATACAGAACATTTGGGGATCCATGGTACCCAAAGACCTTCCTGGGAGTGAGTTCTTTAACAGCTGATACGAGGAAGCTAAGGAACAGGAACCAAGGCTACACAGATTCCCTTGTTTCAATATTTTTCAATAGGGAACCACCAAGATGGCATTTTTTTCCAGAGTGGTTCTAGTGTTTTTTTGAACCCTTGAAGCATCCCATTTTTGGTTCGCTGCAGGCTGAAGTACTGAGATGCTTGGCAGCTGAACGAGCTGTGACCTCTGGGAGTTTGGGGGTCTTGGAGGAGCAAAGAACCGGAAACAAGAACAGTAACCATAGGTTTCGACCATTTGCAAATAAATGGTACAGCCGCTACCTTGGTGAACTTAGGAGACCTGCTATGTAGATCATGCTAGCCAGGCTTCTTCATCTGTTTCCTCCCCCTCGTACTTCGTGAGAGCACCATGTTGCTCACACAGCCAGTCCGATTCAGCATGGCCACTGAGGAAGCTACGGCTTCGCAGGTGATGGCATGGTGCTGAACATCACCTACTCCTTCACCGCTTTATCATCACTGTCCAACTTACAGGTGGCCCATGGACGCGAGACGTGGACAGATGGGAGTTTGGATCGCGATTCAGACTTAGATGCAACCAAACAATTGGAACATACAGGGCTTATTCGTTTTTCTTCCACAAGTTCTTTCAGAAACATCAAGATCAGGGTATATAATCATTAGTAATCATCAACATTCTAGCCCAAAAAACATCAACATCATCAGGGGTAATCATATCTATATAATCATCAACATTCCTACATTTTAACCATGCCCCAGGCTCCTCCCCCAGCCTTCACGGTGCCTTGCCGTCAGGTGTGGCTGGGTACCTCCGATGATTGGATCGGCTCCTCGGACCGGCCGACCAAGGAACAAGGCAGCGCGAGCGAGGGGGAAGGTGATGGCGGTGATGCGGAAATTGGGGAGGAAACATAGGGATTTCATGGGCTTATCATGAGAAAATCGATATATAAATCTGGGGACATCATGAGAAGATGTTCTATAAATCCGCATATCCTAAGAAGATCATTGATAAATCTGGATACATTTTTTTTGGCGCTGGAAATATCTAGGGATTTAAATGCTCAGTAACAGCAGCAGTTCAATAAAAACATACCTACCATTTGGGGATGGTTGGAATCCTACACATAAAAATGGTGACTTTGGGGATGGTTTGTTATTTGGCTTACGATCACATTTTTCCCTGTATTGTGTGGGAATGATAGCACAATAATGTATGGAAATCATGATAATCACTTTGATTAATGTATATATATATATATACTGGAGGGCCCTATCATTTTACATTATATGGGAATAGTGCATGGGAATATCATGATTAATGTGGGAATGAGAATGTATTGTTAAGGGGAATCATGAAATATTCCCAGATTATGGAATCTAGTGTGTACCAGATGGGAAATCATCTCTAGATTCTACCCTCTGGTAATTTGTTACATAGCTATTGAAGCCATGGCCCATAGATAGTGGATTTACTACCAATATAAAAAATGGTGATTTTCCATAGCTTTTTCTATGTTTACCAGAGGCTCAGAGGGTACCAATGGGAATTATCTGGAGATTCCTTTGGTAATCTCGCTGCCATAGCTGTGGAAGACCATCATCTTTGGCAAATAAAATCACATGGAAAATAGGATATTAGGCTTCCACGAATCTATGTTAAATAACCAGAGGGGAGCTATAATGGTGATAACTTTTTAATGGGCATAAATGCGGGATTATATATATATATAGTCATAACTTGAACTTGCACAGTCTGAATATGGTTGTACCTAATATTTTCCAACATATAGAACTGATTGGTGGTTTGGAACATGTTTAATTGTTAACCCTATTTGGGAGGATGGTCCAAATGACAAAAAATGTTTCGGGTGGTTGAAGCCAGAAGCTGGAGAAAAAATCGATTATGTTAGTCACACTTGGACAATAATTCGAAAAGTCAGCGTAGTCAGTTCGAATCAAATATAAAAGGAACCACATAAAATAGATAAAAAATACATATATATATATATTCATATAATTATATATACAGTATATATAATTACAATATATGTATATACATACTTAAAACCATTAAAAACAACTGATGGATCGACAGATAGTATGCATGTATACATTTTAAAATATCTACACCGAACGATGTCTGGCCCCTGCGGAAAGGTGCAAGTTCAAGATTTTACCGTGACACATCCAACCGTCAGATCATTCAACTGGAATTCAGGGTACTTATCCTTTTTGTGGTAGCTTCCTTTTGGGTCTGGAGTGAGTCCCACAAAAAATATATAGATTGAAGAACTCAAGATTTCTTGCTAAAAAATTGATCCATATCATGATGGTTGTTTTCATGTGACACGTGCAAACAAGCATTCCTTTCTGGGTGGTAACTTACTGGTGCTTAATTAGGAATGGGGGGAAATGATTCATAATAACTTAATACAGTAACCATTAGCAATCATCCCATTTCCCCATTCTCTACTAAGAACCGGTAAGATTCCTATTGGAAACTCTTGGTGTTGGGCCACTTTTTGGGGACTCTCCATTTGCAAAACTCTCAGCTCGCTCCGCGTCCGCGTCCGCCAGGATCCTTCGTTGCAGGGTCCTTCGTTGCCACGGCGCATGGCAAGGTTCTGCGTGTGGAGTCAGGCGACCAAGTGGAGCCATGGCCAGATTTCCACACGATGATCTGAAGGATGATTGTTATGATGATTGAATTCCTGTGTATATATATATGTTGTAAGTATAACTATCAATATTATATTACTATCGACTATAAATATTGTATTACTATCGACTATTGATATTATGTATGTGTTGACATATGATTGCTATTATTATAGTGAATTACTGTATATATATATGCATTAGCCGAATCACCCTCTGGTAATAAAACGCGGCAATGGGAACTTTTCTGTAACTGGAGGTTCCAATGGGAAAAATCATCCATAGATGGTGGATGTTCAATTGCCACGTTTGAATACCAGAGGGTATATATTATATCTGGGTAGATTATAACGACCTCACTGCGACCTCACTGGAATCGTGGTTAATAAGGGAAATCATCCCCAAATGGCCTTATTTCAGGTAAGTGAACTATTCTAATTTACCCAGATTATATATATTATTATGATTGATCATGAGTGATGTGTTATGTTTCCTGTCCTTTATGATGACAACTGTAATGATCAAACCTTTATTGTGATTCTGGTGATTTTGTTGTTTTGCTGTGACGATTATTGAGATGTTTGTCAGTAGATTCATTGTCATGTAATGTTCAATGATGATGATTACAATATTTTTCTTCTCATTATTGTGGTGGTGATGACATCTTTTCTTATTTTTACGGTGGTGTTTATTATCATAAATCATGCTGACGGGTTACGATTGTTAGTATGATTGTTAGTATGATTGTTGGTTAGTATGATTGTTAGTTAGTATGATTGTTAGTTAGTATGGTTGTTGGTTAGTATGATTGTTAGTAAGTATGATTGTTAGTTAGTATGATTGTTAGTTAGTATGATTGTTAGTATTATTGCTAGTATGATTGTCAGTATGATTGTTGTAATGGTGATGATGATGATAATGATTATCATTATTATTTAAGTCCTTCTCCAAGATGCTTTGACTTTGACCATGATGGGTTTCCAGCCACTTTCTTTTCTTTGCGCCAGGTGAAGAGGCGGTCTTCGTCTTTTCCCCGCATCCGGAAAGCCACGCCATCATCCTGCAGCACTATGGGAATTGGCCTGCTGTCACCGCACCTGGTCTCCCTGTTGGGGAAGATCCAGAGTTGATTTGTTTTGGTGGCACCAATTAGATGGACCAGCCCATTATTGATGGTGGATATATATATATATGTGATCTATCTATCTACCTACCTATCTAATCTAATCTAACCTAATGTAATCTAATCTAATCTAATCTAATCTAATCTAATTTAATCTATCGATCGATCTATCTATCGATCTATCGATCGATCTATCTATCTACCTATCTATCTATCTATCTACCTATCTATCTATCTATCTATATGATGGCCTGCTGAATTTCTGTAAACGTGTGTTTCGCTGAGCATTCAGTGGGGTTTGGGGGAGTTGAGAAACAATCTTTTTGGGATGGGATGAAGTTACCAGCCAGAGAAGTGTTTCTTGGGTCAGACTGACTTCTGGTAAAGACCACCTAGTTATACACAACATGTTAATGATTTGGGACGTCAAACAGAAATTTGATGTGGATAGAACAGAAGGGCAGGCTTGGTTTTTGACCCATATCCAAGCTTGTTCGGGGCTAATGACTTGGTAGCAAAGCTTCCGCATTGCCGGCCACACCGGTGTCTCCCCCCAAAAAGAAACATGAGCCATTTCTAGATGTTCTATCTTCCGGGTTTCCTATTAAAAGGAAGTGTATATAGTTAGGAAACTTCCGAGATACGGACGATTGTCATGGCAAGCTGTCTCACCAACATGGCAACCACATCATCTCAATCATCATGTCAACCACATCATCATGTCAACCACATCATCATGTCAACCACATCATCATGTCAACCACATCATCATGTCAACCACATCATCATGTCAACCACATCATCATGTCAACCACATCATCATCATCATCATCATCATCATCATCATGATCATCATCATCATCACCATCATCATCATCATCATCATCAGGTAGTTGGGAAGTGTAAGAGCTCGGGAACGCGTGAATGCAGGCTTGAAAACACTCTCAGGCGTGAAACCCTGTGTTTTTTCGGGCAAAGTGGCTGCCGTGGTCGCTGAAGGAGGGTCTCTGTTTTTTGCAGTTGCGCGGCTCGATCGGGGAAATTGGTCGACAAAAAGCGAACAGGACTGTAACGAGAGCGCGATTTCACTTAAACATTGAAAAAAACTGTCGGTCTTGGAGCACTTTTGGAAGATGAGGTCGAGAGACTGTAGCGAGAGCTCGATTTCACAGTAAAAACTGAGGGTTTCGGACCACTTTTGAGAATTAGTTCATTTCAATTCATTCATCTCAATTCATTCATTTTAATTCGTTCATGTCCCTCATTCATTTCAACTCATTCATGTCAACTCACTCACTTCAATTCAATAATTTCAATGCATTGATGTCAATTCATGCATTTCAATTCATTCATTCCATTTCATTCATTTCAATTCATACGTAAGAAACTGTGGGTTTCGGACCACTTTTGGCAACTCATTCATTTCAATTCATTCATCTCAATTCATTCATGTCAATTCATTTGTTTCAATTCATGAATTTCAAGTCATTCATTTCAATTCATTTATAATTTATAATTCAATTTTTTCATGTCAATTCATTCACTTCAATTGATTTATTTCAACAAGTTCCTTCATTCATTCGTTCGTTCGTTCGTTCGTTCATTCATTCATTCATTCAGTCACTCATTCATTCATTCATTCATGAATTTAAGAATTCATTCATTCATTTTGTTCATATATTTTTTCTGTCATTTGTTCACTCTTTCATTCTTTCATTTCGTTCATTCATTCATTTCAATTCCAGCATTTCAATTTCTTCATACCATTTCATTTTTTCAATTCATTTTTCAATTCATTCACTTCATTTCATGTCATGTTTTTCATTTCATATCATTTCAACTCACTTCTTTCTAACTCACCAAGAACTCCTATAAGCAAACTGGTTCCTATAGCCATGTCCTATTTTCGAAACTTCCGCCCGGCGCGTGCCGGGCACTACCTGGTAAGAATTGGTGATTTTCTATAGCAAACCCTTCAATATCAAAAAGGCTAATGTACCATAATTACCCAAAGTCCCGTGAACATCCCCAATGTCCCAACTGAGTTTTGAGGCTGCCACCAGTTCTGACCTTGAGCGATCCACCTCGGACGGAGCCTATGCCATCTATGTGCCTCAGCGGATCCAATGTGGTTTGGATCCCAATGTAACGCAGCTTCAATCCACATTTCCAGTTCACCAACTTCCCAGAATTAGATGCTGTAAACGCCTCGAACTGAACCATATGGGGGTTTCCATTAATGGGGATCCCCAAAAATGGAGGGTAAACCACGGAAATCCACCTGCAAATGGATGGCTCCAGGTACCTTTGGGACCCCTGGCAGCTGGAGAAACCAAGAAAACCAGCGTTTTCTACGCGGCGCCCTGGCCATAGAGGAGTTTGTCAACCATGGTTTTTGTACGGCTGAAACATAGTTGGCTAACCTCAAAACTTAATTCAATCCAATGAAAGTAAATGAATATAGATTAATCTCAATCTATTATATTTGATCAAGCATACTAAAGAAAAACGGGAATATAAAGAAAAAACACGTAGATAGTAGTAACTCTCGTACCACAGAAGCTGAGGTTTTTACTGACGTATGATCAAAAAAGTGAAGACAATGTGTGCCTCTGATGAGTTGTGATACATACCTGTGAAAGGATTATGACCCTGGAGAGGGAACCCCTGCCACATCCGAAGTTTCTTGTGATTATACCTTTGGATACCCTTGGGTTATCAAAGATATTGAAACATGGCAATGGAGAATCACCATTTTAATGTTTTTTATTGGTAAATCATCTAATGGGCCATGGTTTCCATAGCTATGTTCGATTACTAGACGGGGTAAATAACCCGTGATGACTTTGCCATGCAGGTCCCTGCGAATCTCAACATTAAGAAACACAGTCGGCAGCACTCTTTACTCTAAATCACGACAGAAATCTAGAACATGACTTTCTTGTCCCAGAAAACCACATTTTTTTGCCACATTTTTCCCACTGTTCGTCGCAGTTCTCACAGTTCGCTCGGGTTCCATACTTGGTGGTTCATCCCACGAATCGGAAGTGGCTTGTACCCCGCGTTACATATACACGGGATTATAGGGGTTAATTATATTATGGATTATAACCCACTTACGATTCGTGGGATGAGCCACCGTTCGTAGGCAGCGGCGGCCAGTCAGCTCTCCCATTTGCTGCGCGTGACTGACGAAGTCGCTAAGTCAGGTGACGGGACGTTGGGCGGTTGCGACGGTTTCCGGATGTGTCCTGTTGGTTAATGGGGTTTATAATGGAAAATCCTATTAACATGTAAAACATTGTAAAACAGTAAGTAACAGATACAATCCTATGATATCCTATGCCTACAACACTTATCATCCATTTTAATAGGATTTTGGGGATTCACAATAGAGCTGGATGGTTTATATATTTAATGGAAAATCCTATTAACATTGATGATTTAGGGTACCCCCATTTCAGGAAACCTCCAAATGATACCCGGAAAATCTCAATGACTGACTCCCCTACACTAATTGACTAATTGAGGATAATCACAATCCGACGGTGGGTAAAATGAGTCACAAATGACTGGGATAGTGACCATGTTTATTTCATCCAGCTGCCTCGTAGGAGATATACATGGCGATTTTTGACGTATCATGGATAGGAAAATGGTTTCAATCCTGTATATGCTCAATGTATGCTAAAATAGGCTATGACCTTACCTAGATTCATTTTTTGAGTTAAATGTGTCCAAATCAACATGTATACCAGCGTCACGGATTATATTTGGGTGTGATGCCAAACCCGAACCTGCTGCTTGGACTAGTTTGATATTGTGACACGTTATGACTTATAACTTATTAATTATGACATATTAGGAGATGTTATGGCATATTACGGCATATGATGACATACTAGATACAGCACTTGATACACAAAAGCAATGTATATAATATTACAATATAAACATATATGGGTGTTTCCTGAAATGGGGGTACCCCCACATCATCCATTTTAATAGGATTGTCCATTATAAACCATCCATTTTTACCGCCATTTTGGGAAACCTCCATATATATTGATATATCCCCATGCGTTGGAATTCCCCCAAGTTCCACTCGGCTTGCAGAACGCCCAACGACCTCTTCCACAGCTGCTACAACCATGAAGGCCTTGCGAACTGCGCCGCTCACAACGACCACAACGACTCAGCCTGGCCTAGCTGCTGCTTGGCGTGGCAGGTAGTAATCATTAAGGATGGGGATGTATAGTCTTCAAATGATGCTTGGTTGTTGCTCAGAAAAAATGATGTATGATTTCCATGACAAAAATATCTCACCAATTGGGATCCAGTTGGAGCTACTAGTATAGAGTTTCCCAACCACACGTGCCATTGTCAAAACATGGTTTATGTTAATGTTTATATTCCCAGAAAGGGGCATTGTCAGGAAAATCATTTTGATAGGGATTCACAGACCCATTGAGATATATAGACCCATTGAGATATAAGATCAGGTTGGTGGTTTGGAACATTTGGATTATTTTTCCATTTCATATATTGGATGTCATCCTTCTCATTGACGAACTCATATTTTTCAAGAGGGGTAGGTATACCACCAACCAGATTATTATTAACCATACTTAACCATATAATAACCATATATTAACCATATATTAACAGTATATTAACATTATATATATAAATTGACCATCATTAACCATATATTAACCATATATGAACCATATATGCTTTGTTTCATCGTTATTTTTTGCTGTTCCACGATTCACCCATGGGAGTGCTAGAAAACTTCCACTCCAACTGGAGCTCAGTTGAGGGGATGAAAACGTCACTTGAAATGGTGCTTTGATACGGTGGATGAAAAAAAACCTGCACCTGTTGATAGGTGGATTACCCTCTGGTAAACTAACATAACTATGGAAAGATCCACCATTTTCAATGGGAAAACTCACTATAAATGATCATTTTCAATAGCTATGTTAGTTTACCAGAGGGTATCCCATTATTCATAGGGTTTCAACCATCCTTCAGGTGATGCCACGGATTTCTTCCACAGTAGGAGTAAACATCCCCAGGGGTTCTGTTCCCTGAGCCTGGGTGCTGGCTCAGCCACGAGTCACACCTTGATGTACTCAAACATGGCTGCTTGGAAAATACCTGGCTGGTTCGGAGATTTTCCAGGAATCGCCGATGTTTGAGGCCGCCAGACAGGTCCAGAGGGTATATCCCATTATGTCAAATTATATCCCACTACATCCCATTATGTAAATGGAGGTTTCTTGAAATGGGGAACATGGGTGTCAATACTAAAATGCTCTAGTGACTTGGATGATTTGGGATATTTGGGGGTCCCATGACTGAGGAACCCCCCAAATATATCCCATTATATATATAATTATATACATATATATATATATATACACACACCATTATAATGATGGCAAACGGAAATTGCAGGTCCTTCAAACCGATTTCTTGAAGATCGCAGTGCTGAAAGACGGCAGTCTCTTGGTCGCCCTGCAGTCGGTGCAGTCGTAGTTTTTCTGCGGTGTCTTACCCCCCTGTTGGGTGATGATTAGTGAAGGGGGTTAGACTATCCAACATACCCTCTGGTAAACTAACATAACTATGGAAAATCACCATGTTTAATGGGAAAATCCACTATAAATGGCCATTTTCAATAGCAAATTTTGACATAACCAGAGGGTAATGTGGCAATTCCAATAAGAAGCGATCCCCTAAATCAGCCTTTTTAGTAGGGTGGGATTAACCCCCCAAGTGGTACCCTCTGGTAGTTTAACAGTTTGCGACATAGAAAATGGCCATTTATAGTGGATAGTCCCATTGAAAATTGTGATTTTCCATAGTTATGTTAGTTTACCAGAGGGTAACTTGTTTATGGGTGGGATGGGTTGCCCACATTGGGGATGAAACTCGCAAAAAAGGGGACCCAAAATTTCTGGCTTTGTCACTGATTCTCATCACAATGATCCCATCATCCTCCCAGCATTCATCAATGATTCTGCATTCTCCAACCCATAGGATCCATGGTGCTGACATATATGGTAACATGGATCCCATCAATATACTCCCAATGTTAGCATATATACCAGCACCACGGATCCTATGGGCAACAGATTTGTCATGATTTAAGTCTATCTGTGAATGTTGCGTTTTGGTGAAACATCTACGTTGGTGTAATCACGTAGGACCCTTCCTTCGAGCCGTTGGGTTTGTCGTCTGAACATCACGGGTAACCATTTGTTCACGCATAGATCATTGATGATCCTGGCCCCCGGTGCGAGCAGCCTGCGGACGCTATAAACCTCTAAGCTGACAATGGACCACCTTCCTGTGTAGAATAGATGCACACATTAAAATGAGCTGGACCGGTAACACATGTAAACATAAATGTTCCCTAGGTTTATCCATTATACTGATAGGTATGATATAGAAATAAATGTTCATTCATTTCATTGCCTTTAGAACTATTGGCTTCAGGCAACTGGAGAAGTAACAGGAACTGCAGAAGTTTGGACCTGAAGTCTGTGCAATGCACCAACAGCGGGCTTCTCAACATGCTAGATGTACACGGTTATATCTGGTCTGTAGTTTATTCTTAAAAATGGCACGATGATCTCAAGGAACTGATGTTTTTTAGGGGATTAGTTGGTACCGGTTGCCACACTAATACAATATATATATGATATATGTAATATATATATATAGTATGTAATATATATATATAATATATATATATATAATATATATGTAATATATATATACATAATATAAATAACTAAGGCTGTTGTTTGCCATGGATTGTCGAGGCTTGGGCCAGCCCTTCTACATGTCGGATCAGAGGGGATGGACCAAGCTCACATACGCCAGCAAGAAATTGGACTACGCGATCAAGGCGAGGAAGTTGGGGTTCTGTCGGGGTTTGGCTTGGGATTGGTGGAAAGACTGCAACAAACACTGAGAACTGAGATTATACCATCAACTTTCATGGGATTTCATGGGATTTCATGGGATTTCATGGCTAATTAATGAAATTAAACCATCAACAATAGGGATTTCATGGGATTTTTCATGGCTAGTTCAATGGGAGCTCATGGGATTTTTCATACGATTTATCCTTCGGTACTCAACCGCGGCAGGCTGGAAGGAGTTTCATAGGGAAAATCATCGAAGCAAATGGCGCATGTTCCATTGCCATGTTTGATTACTGGGTATCGATGATGAGGTTTGGTATCGAGATAGCCCGCCAATGGATTGACATGTTCCCTCTTCGCGAGGTTTGTGCAACCTCAACATCCGGCAAACGTGATCAGACATGGCTTGTTCTGACAAGCAAAAGCAAGAAGTGAATGGAATCAATCTGAGTGGCACCATAGACAATTTTGTCATGTCGTTTCCGAAAAAGTGTGTATAAACCAATTGTCCAGATTAGAGGTTCCCCAAACAATCATCCATTTTAGGATTTTCTGCTAATGATAAAATATTATAAATAGGATTTTCCACTATATCATCCATTTTAATAGGATTTTCCACTTATAAACCATCTGAGCTATTGGGCTAACCCCATGCAGGTCGACGGCAAACTGGCAGCCGTGGGAGGCCTGGTGGGTACCCAACAAAATTTCCAAGTCATTAGACTATTTTAGTATTGACACATAATGAAATCTGTTTTTAGGGTCCTTTGTTCCAAGTCAGATACCGGGATTTCTGGGTTTGAAGATTCTTGGACATTTGCAGATATTTTGTTTTTAGTAGATGTTTGATTCATACCCAAAATGGGAATCAGAACCGCCCAAATTCAACAACTAGGGGTTTAATTGACCCAGGGTTCATACTAAAACCTATTCATGAGATCCTCAATTGTTTATTCACGCAGAACAGAGGTATTGATTGATATACAACATTTTCCTGGTAATTTTCCGTTTTTCATCCTAGCTCCCGCAATTTCGCTGCGTAATAAAATTCAAGGTTTGAGCCATACCCGTTTATTGATGGGATGTCAAATCGAATTTGTTCACGTCCACATATAGAGAGCCCATTTATCAATAGGATATCCTTTGGCAATCGAACGGCTGGCTGGGAAGTCCCATGTTTAGTGGGAGCATCATGGACCTAACTTGCGGGTATTGACGGGTATTGATGGATACATTTTATTTACTCTTGGGATATCAAATCCCCATTCATTGATATGATAGATGTGTTTTTCTAAACATAGGGCACCCCAAAGTCTCACGCGTAAGAAATCACAATGTACCCCTTTTTGATCCTTTTTGTAGAAGCTCAAACAAATTGCTCGCCCGTCCATTTCATTTTTTCACAATCTTTTCACAATCCCAAGTGATTAGTTAGATCCCAGATTGATACCCTCTGGTAAACTAACAGTTTGCTATTGAAAATGGCCATAGAAATAGTGGATTTTCCCATTAATAGCATGGTGGATCTTTCCAGTTCGCTATGTAACAAATTACCAGAGGGTATATTCCCATTAAATCCCATTAAACCATCATTAAACCACCAGTAAACCACCATTAAACCACCATGTTTTATGGCTAAAACTGGCCACATTTTTTTGTGGTTGAACCCCCAGGTCCGGAGGTCCTGCATAGGTCCTGCCTCGATCATTTTCCCAGAGGAGATTCCGGTGAAAAATCCCAATGTTTGTGACAAAGCACCATGGGTTGTTGCAGATTTTTGTTCGTACCCGGCCTGGTAAACTAACATAACTATGGAAAATCACCATTTTGTATGGGAAAACTCACTATAAATGGCCATTTTCAATAGCTATGTTAAATTACCAGAGGGAATTTTTCATGGAATGAACCCCCCAATTTCCCCAATGTACCAAGGGGTGTTTGCAGGTGGTTTAAAAAAAGATCAAACTACTTTTGGTGGATTAGCCTTTGTGAAAATTTAACGTAGGGAACTGGAACATCACCATTTTAAATAGTCATAAACCATCATAAATCATCATACATCATCTATAAATGGGCCATGTTTATACACCAGTATAAACCATCATAAACCATCATACATCATCTATAAATGGGCCATGTTTATACACCAGTATAAACCATGTTAAACCATCATACATCATCTATAAATGGGCCATGTTTAGTATAAACCATCATAAACCATCATAAACCATCATACATCATCTATAAATGGGCCATGTTTATAAACCATCATAAACCATCACAAGTCATCATACATCATCTACAAATGGGCCATGTTTATACACCAGTATAAACCATCATAAGCCATCATATATCACCTATAAATGGCCCATGTTTAGTATAAACCATCATAAACCATCATAAATCATCATACATCATCTATAAATGGGCCATGTTTATACACCAGTATAAACCATCATAAACCATCATACATCACCTACAAATGGCCCATGTTTAGTATAAACCATCACAAACCATCATACATCATCTATAAATGGGCAATGTTTATACACCAGTATAAACCATCCTAAACCATCATACATCACCTATAAATGTCCCATGTTTAGTATAAACCATCATAAACCAGCATAAATCATCGTAAATCATCTATAAATGGGCCATGTTTATACACCAGTATAAACCATCATAAACCATCATACATCACCTATAAATGGGCCATGTTTATACACCAGTATAAACCATCATAAACCATCATACATCATCTATAAATGGGCCATGTTTATACACCAGTATAAACCATGTTAAACCATCATACATCATCTATAAATGGGCCATGTTTATACACCAGTATAAACCATCATAAACCATCATACATCATCTATAAATGGGCCATGTTTATACACCAGTATAAATCATCACAAGTCATCATACATCATCTATAAATGGGCCATGTTTATACACCAGTATAAACCATCATAAACCATCATACATCATCTATAAATGGGCCATGTTCATACACCATCATAAACCATCATAAACCATCATACATCATCTATAAATGGGCCATGGTTTAGTATAAACCATCATAAACCATCATACATCATCTATAAATGGCCCATGTTTAGTATAAACCATCATAAACCATCATACATCATATAAATGGCCAATGTTTAGTATAAACCATCATAAATCATCACAAGTCATCATACATCATCTATAAATGGGCCATGTTTATACACCAGTATAAACCATCATAAACCATAATACATCATCTATAAATGGGCCATGTTTATACACCATCATAAACCATCATAAACCATCATACATCATCTATAAATGGGCCATGTTTATACACCAGTATAAACCATCATAAACCATCATACATCATCTATAAATGGGCCATGTTTAGTATAAACCATCACAAACCATCATAAACCATCATACATCATCTATAAATGGGCCATGTTTATACACCAGTATAAACCATCATCAACCATCATACATCATCTATAAATGGGCCATGTTTATACACCAGTATAAACCATCATAAACCATCATACATCATCTATAAATGGCCAATGTTTAGTATAAACCATCATAAATCATCACAAGTCATCATACATCATCTATAAATGGGCCATGTTTACACACCAGTATAAACCATCATAAACCATCATACATCATCTACCAATGGCCCATGTTTAGTATAAACCATCATAAACCATTATAAATCATCATAAATCATCTATAAATGGGCCATGTTTATACACCAGTATAAACTATCATAAACCATCATACATCATCTATAAATGGGCCATGTTTAGTATAAACCATCATAAATCATCACAAGTCATCATACATCATCTATAAATGGGCCATGTTTATACACCAGTATAAACCATCGTCAAAAACCATCATACATCATCTATAAATGGGCCATGTTTATACACCAGTATAAACCATCATAAACCATCATACATCATATAAATGGCCACTGTTTAGTATAAACCATCACAAATCATCACAAGTCATCATACATCATCTATAAATGGGCCATGTTTATACACCAGTATAAACCATCATAAACCATCATACATCATCTATAAATGGGCCATGTTTATACACCAGTATAAACCATCATACATCACCTACAAATGGGCCATGGTTTAGTATAAACCATCATAAATCATCACAAGTCATCATACATCATCTATAAATGGGCCATGTTTATACACCAGTATAAACCATCATAAACCATCATACATCATCTATAAATGGGCGATGTTTAGTATAAACCATCATAAACCATCATAAACCATCATACATCATCTATTAATTGGCCATGTTTAGTATAAACCATCACAAACCATCATACATCATCTATAAATGGGCCATGTTTAGTATAAACCATCATAAACCATCACAAGTCATCATACATCATCTATAAATGGGCCATGTTTATACACCAGTATAAACCATCATAAACCATCATACATCATCTATAAATGGGCCATGTTCATACACCATCATAAACCATCATAAACCATCATACATCATCTATAAATGGGCCATGGTTTAGTATAAACCATCATAAACCATCATACATCATCTATAAATGGCCCATGTTTAGTATAAACCATCATAAACCATCATACATCATATAAATGGCCAATGTTTAGTATAAACCATCATAAATCATCACAAGTCATCATACATCATCTATAAATGGGCCATGTTTATACACCAGTATAAACCATCATAAACCATAATACATCATCTATAAATGGGCCATGTTTATACACCATCATAAACCATCATAAACCATCATACATCATCTATAAATGGGCCATGTTTATACACCAGTATAAACCATCATAAACCATCATACATCATCTATAAATGGGCCATGTTTAGTATAAACCATCACAAACCATCATAAACCATCATACATCATCTATAAATGGGCCATGTTTATACACCAGTATAAACCATCATAAACCATCATACATCACCTACAAATGGGCCATGTTTAGTATAAACCATCATAAACCATCACAAGTCATCATACATCATCTATAAATGGGCCATGTTTATACACCAGTATAAACCATCATAAACCATCATACATCATCTATAAATGGGCCATGTTTATACACCATCATAAACCATCATACATCATCTATAAATGGGCCATGGTTTAGTATAAACCATCATAAATCATCACAAGTCATCATACATCATCTATAAATGGGCCATGTTTATACACCAGTATAAACCATCATAAACCATCATACATCATCTATAAATGGGCCATGTTTAGTATAAACCATCATAAACCATCATAAACCATCATACATCATCTATAAATGGGCCATGTTTAGTATAAACCATCATAAACCATCACAAGTCATCATACATCATCTACAAATGGGCCATGTTTATACACCAGTATAAACCATCATAAACCATCATACATCATCTATAAATGGGCCATGGTTTAGTATAAACCATCATAAATCATCACAAGTCATCATACATCATCTATAAATGGGCCATGTTTAGTATAAACCATCATAAACCATCACAAGTCATCATACATCATCTATAAATGGGCCATGTTTATACACCAGTATAAACCATCATAAACCATCATACATCATCTATAAATGGCCCATGTTTAGTATAAACCATCATAAATCATCTATGTTAAATCACCAGTGGCTACCATCCTTCCAGTCCTTTGTTCGAAGGTGATCCAGCAGTGGAAAGCAGCGCTGCCAGCTCGCTGGCCACCAGAGCTCAAATGACGCTGGATGGCTCCCCGAAGGCAGGGTGATCATGGTGATCTCTGGGGACTTAGGATTTTTGGGCATCCAGACACTGGTGCCTAATAAGTGCCTTTTATATGTGATGGTGGGCAGTGCCTAATAAGTCCCCAATAAGTCACCGATCATTTCAGGGGGTGACTTCTTGGGACTTTTGGGCATGGTGATTTCATGGTGATTTCATGGTGATTTCATGGTGATTTATGGGGATTTTTCATGATTTTTCATGGGATGAACTATGGGATTTAAGCCATCCAACAATAGGGATGAATCTTTGGTAGATCATGATGGTAAACAGTAGACATTTTTTTTGGGGGAGTTCCATGGATGCCATGGATCATGATGGTAAACAGTTCGACACCCCCTGTGAGTTGATTAGGATGATAGGGGGCTATACTAGCCAATATAATATATATATATAATTATATACCACTTATATCAATCATGGAATATACCACTTATATACCAATATATATATATAATATTGAATTATAATATAATATACTAAACCACTAGTGAATCACGGCAAATCAATTTGAACTCATTTTCCCTACTAGAATGGCCACAATTGGATACAATTGGGAGGTAGGGAGCACCATTTTCAGACACACCCATTTCACGAGAAAAACGACGATCTCCGCTGGATGTAAATCATGATAATCATCGATATCTCTAAACCGAACAACGGGGTGAGTTGGATCGGGGAATCTACTGTAACCGTTAGAAGTGCGTTGTAAAAAGTGAAATGATAAGACACGACTTTTGGAATACTGTATATACATACATTCCTTTTTATAGATCTGGGTTTCTGTAATCATGGGTCCCATCTTGAAGATCTGTGGTTTCAGATGGTCATGTTTGAAACCTCAAAGTTCAGAAATTATGGGTTTGATACGTACCAAACTCATCAAGATAAATCAGATCCTGTTTTGACATAACCCTGTTTCACCTGGGCTGAAGTTGTTTTATTCAGTTGAGATCATACCATGTTTCCCTTCTTTCTGGTGCATGCCCTCGTAGACATATGTAAGTTGATGGCTTTCTCTTGACAGATGAGGGATTGCCCATATCCATCTTAGTTTTTACTGGAGGGTAATTCTTGTCTAATCCCACAGAATCCCACAGGCGGAAGTGCTACGCAACTCGGCATTCACCTGGAAGCATCCGACAAGGCATAGGAGTCCTAGGAGCAATGAGGGCCCTTTTGTACTCTTGGACATACCCTTTGGTACTCAAACATGGGTATGGATCAATACCTATTAATACCATTTTTAGGGGGATGAACATCCATTTACCAGCTATTTTGATGTTCACCAGGGGTACAAGGTTTTGACCCACTGCCAAATGACAAAGCAGCTGCATCCTTTTTCCTTCTGAAAATATTCCTTTTCTGAGGGCATACTCTCTCACTCTTGGCTATGCTGCAAAGGGAAAAAAGCCATGAAATGGCATCATGGCATCTGAGGCAGCTACAACTTCTTGGGTCAAGGCATGGTGTTGAATGTCACCTACACCTTCACGGCCCTTGCTCCCATCAACGAACTGGAGGTTGGAAGAGGGGGAGAAAGCCTTGAATCAATGGCCACATGATGAAACCATTCAATTCATTGAGATATACTGTCGCATTTGTCATCTAACATCATCTATTCCATATACTTCCTTCTACCCCAAACTCAACTACTATCTCAACTTAAAAAGTCTCAACCTGTTTTTTTTTTGAAGATTTTTGAAGTCATGGATTTTTCTCACTTTTTTTTTTAGGCCGTGGATATTTGGGCCGTTGATTCATGGTCCCTTGCCGTCAGGTGTGGCTGGGCACCTCCGACGATTGGATCGGCTCGTCGGATCGCCCCAGCAAGGAGCAAGGCACGGTGGCACGGTGGAGCGCCACGGTTGAGGAGTTTCGGACACCGAAAATCATGGTATCCATGGGAAATGAGCAAATTAAAGATGGTTGACCTATTAAAAATGGTGATTTTCCATGGCTATGTTAAATAACCAGATGGTAAATATGATGTTCATATGATTCGATGTTTTCATATGATGTTAAATATATTTTGTTATATGTTGATATGATGTTAATTATATGTAATATTATGTCATGAATGTTGCAATACTGTACTATCATATTATGTAATATCATATCTATTAATATTATTAGTTATTAATATCTCACATCATCTCAGGATTGATTCAACATGACTCAACAGCCAGCGCGCCCAAACCACGCCTTTGAAGCTGACCGGGGGCCTTGGAGGTTCCTTCAGGGGTGGCAGCTTTGTTCCTGCAGCCCATGGCCAGATCCTGCGGGTTCAATCAGGTGCCTGATGTGGTAAAAAGAAGCCTGTCCCCATGTGGCTAGTTTCTTAAGTTTCTGGCACTTCATGGTGTTTTGTGGTTAATAAATGTTCATAACATTTAACTGATTTAACTGTCTACAATAAGTTGAATTGCTACCATCACAGCGATGAGTCATCGAAAAATGTGCAGAAGGAGAGAAGACCAGTCCATATCAAGTGCCGCTGGGTCCCTGCTGTGGTATCCCCAATGTGTACCAAGAATGCCATAAATTTGGCAAACTCATCAGAAATCATCAATATATCGGGTCATATTCCTTATTGTGTATTGTATTGATTCTCGAAAAACCCTAGTGTCGACAGAACCTTTCCACAAAAGATAGCCCCCATTGCCATGAGAACTAATGAAGGCAAATGATGGACAACTATATGTCAATAATGCTACGAAACCATACGAAACATACACAACCATTTTGTTATCAGTTATTTCGTATTGACCTCTTCTTGGTCAATATTTTGTCCTATCTGGTGATTAGGAGGCCATCATATTCCATATCGAATATGGGGAGCCAGTTGGAGCTACAGCCGGAGAGTTTCCCAACCTGTGCCAGGGTCAAAACATAGTTTAACTGCCATCATCCGGATTTTCCCCACAGATGGGGATGATCATCAATCCATCAAAAGGGATTTATAGATGAACACTATAAACAATTCCTTGACGATAGTGAGATGACTATACCCCATTCACCATGTAACCTGACTTTTTTAATCTTTTTTCACACATTTGTCTCAAAGCCGTCCCAGTAGTTTCCCAGCAAAGTGGACGAACCAAGTGACCCCTTGCAGGCGAAGAATCGGTTTTTATCTTTTCTCCGAACCCGGACTCTGGGCGGCAGCGAAGTGATTTGTAGGAATCGCCTGTGTTTTTTTTTTAACAGTGATAGTGTCACCATCGTTAGTTTATGTTTGACCTAAATGTCATAAATGATAAATAACATGTGTTAAATAACATGTATAGAAGTATGGTATAAGATTCATTTATCTAATTTTTACATGTGTTATTCCATATTTATCACATACCAAGACTAATATCACTTACATATTACATCGTTCACCACCACAGGACAGCCACGCCATCATCCTGGAACATTATGGCAACTGGCCCGCCGTGTCGGTCAAGCCCTCAGTCGTGGAAAAAAAAGATGGCAACTGGATATGGAACCCCAAAATTGATAGATTCGTTTCATGGGATGTTTGGATAGCTTTTTGGGGATTTACCCTCTGGTATTTTAACATAGCTATGGAACATGGCCATTTATAGTGAGTTTTCCCATAAAAAATGGTGATGTTCAATAGTTATGTTAGTTTACCAGAGGGTAACATGATTTAACACATGATTTTTTAAAAGCCTCGATTTGCCGAGTGTTGAATGGCCAAGGACCCTTGGGAAACTTGAATGGCTATTGAATATCCCATGAATATCCCATTGAGAATCCCATTGAAAATCCCTTGGTTCATACAACGTGGTGCACCATAGTTAGCTAATTTGGTTTATAACTCCAATAACTATGGTTTATGGTAGATATATCATGATATTATATCTATACTTACTATGGTTTATAAACCGACTTATAAATGGTTGGCGGTTTGGAACATTTGGATTATTTTTCCCATCATGTTGGGAATCATCCTCCCAACTGACTTTCATATTTTTCACAGGGGTAGGTCAACCACCAACCGTCTATCATGGTGAGTCAATGATAACAATAATCATAATGTTGTGTTAATAAGAAAAACACATCTAAATTTATGGTGTCTAAATTTTCTGCAATCTTCCCCCTAAACCAATCCGTTGAAACATGTTGAAAAAGAAACGCTGGTTGGTGGTTTGGAACATTTGGATTATTTTTCCATTTCATATATGGGATGTCATCCTTCCCATTGACGAACTCATATTTTTCAAGATGGTTGAAACCAGCAACTTATTATCAACCATCATGAAGTATATAATAAGCATCATCATTAACCATGAAATTAACAGTATATTAACCATATATAAACCCAGCAGTATAACTGGGAAAACACAGCCTTGTAGCATCTGACCGTTCCAAAAAGGCCTCCAAACGCTCCGATTTGGCGAGATCCACATCGGATGGAGCCTATGCCGTTTATGCGCCATGGCTGGTCGGGGGTTTTGACTGGCTGGTCGCCCCTGGTGGTGGGTAAAAACTGGTCATGGCCATGGGTGAAAACCATAGTTAATGGTCATTGAATGGGATAAAACATGGGAGATTCATGGGGAAAATCCAGGATGGATATGGGATAAGATACTGTAACTGACGTGAACGTTTCCGTGATCCAGGATGGTCCCAAGCGACTTAAGATGGCTACGCAATAATCCGAATGATATATTTTTGCGGAATGGAATATGACCAGCATTTTTTTTTGGATCAACGACGTTTTTTTTTTTCTGGTTTTACTGGTCATTCGCTGGTGACCTCACGTCGCAACCACACTGGATGGTGAAAATGTAGGGGGAATTCTCCCAATATTCGCCGAACTTTTCAGGTTCGTGAATTATGATGAAATTTACCCAGATTCGCTGCTTATGCATTGATAAGTCACTGGTTATGCAACGTAGAGAGATTTTTTCGCCATGGCGTTGACTGAAGTTGAGTGTCCCATCGCCACATCAAGATTTTCTTAGGTCAAGCCGACGCAAATCCAACCAAGTTTTGGTTGGTCTAATGAAACATGTTATGTATAACTGTATAACTTCGAAATGTTGTTCAACAAATACTGGTGATTTACTGATTACTAAATATGTGTATGTATAATTAACCACTATATCAACTAGTAAATCACCGTATAATGAACCATATAATCTATGACTTACATTTTTTTCATCAAATACTGAAATTTTAAAAACATGATACATATATTATATATATATATTATAATCAATTTTAATTTCACCAATTTTAACAACCGTCACCGATTGTGATAAACAATTGTGCCATTCAGGTGCCCCTGGGATCGCTCAGTCCGGGGCAGAAAATCAGCGCCACGATCTTCTACGCGGCTCCTCGATTCTTGAGAAACGCATTGGAACTTGGAACACATTCCTTGGGAATATATATATATATATATTTATACTATATGGGTAAATTATAACGACCTCACTGCGACCTCACTGGAATCATGGTTAATAAGGGGAATCATCCCCAAATGGCCTTAATTCAGGTTAGTGAAATATTATAATTTACCCAGATAATATATGGATTTACAGGGAATATCATTGGGATATTTTATTGGAATCTAACTGGATATAATGGGATAAAATGAGTTACCCTCTGGTAATTTGTTACATAGCGAACTGGAAAGAGCCACCATTTTATAGCTGGGATAATCCACTATATTTCGACTGGGCCATTTTCAATAGCAGACTGTTAGTTTACCGGAGGGTATGGAAATTGGAAAACATTCCTTAAGCAGCTATTTTAGGATACCTAGTAACCTAGGATATCAGGGTTTTGACCCATAATATGATCTTACCCTCTGGTAGTCTGTCACATTGGCGAACTGGACAATCACCATTGTTAATACATATATATATATATGTATATATATATATATATATCATCGAACTAAATGGTTCATGGCTTCCAGTTCGCAACCAGTCAGTTTACAAACGAGGCTAGTAAAAAACCCCATGTTAAACGGTCCCTCGGTCCCAAAGATGTGTAAATCCCAAGACAAACGGAGTAGTACTGTACCAGTAACACCCAAGCTGAACCTCGCAACTCTTTGAGGATTCTGAAGATATTCTGCATCTTTTGGGAGTTGCTATACCGAAAATGGATTTGGAATGCGAATATGATATAGATTATATATAATCATATATAATCATACATATCTATATATATATATACATTGTGATCATAAGGACTTTTGGCTCATCAATCAATGTACCATCGAGATCCTATAAGTGGCTTTAAATCCCAATGAACATCATCATAAACCAACCTTAATTGCCCTAAGTCGCTGCGGTTTTCAACCATACCAGTTCTCAGAGGTGCATGGCATTTGGTTTGCCACATTGAGGTGATAGCTGGCAATTTTTCAAATGGAAGCTGAGACACATGACAATTTCTGAAACGCAACTCACTTTCAACGTTTTGACCTTGGTTTTCCCGCAGGAACCAGAGAAGAGATGGAATTGTGCGAAAACAACTGCATCATTGATTCACTCTTTGGTGTCGATCAGCACTTTATCTGACAGATCGTCCAAATCTCTCCAAAAATATGAGGATCTGAACTTCCAAGCGTTACCCTCTGGCAAACTAACATAACTATGGAAAATCACCATTATTAATGGGAAAACTCACTTTTTTAATGGCAATTTTCAATAGCTATGGCTATGTTAGTTTACCAGGCCGGGTATCTGGTCAAATAATTTCCTCAGATCCACAGACTATCCAGGAAAGAATCAATTTTTGTCCATCCGCATCCGGCAAACCCAGGCAGCTGGCGCCGATCGTCTGCAAGACCTCCTGCGGGTGGCCGAAGAAGGCGATTTTTTGGCCGGGCTTGGGATAGTTTTTCTGAGGTTTTCCCGGTGGAAAATGTTGGAAAATTGGTAAAAACCATTGGAACATGTTGCAAGATGTGGAAAAACAATGGATGGATGTGTGTGCGTGTGTGTTTTTTTTGGAGCCATTTCTTAGAGGTTTCGGCTGGGTTCAATTTGTCCAATATTGGTGATGGGAATGGAGTGATTCCAGAAATAACCATGGGTGGTTTCACCGTGGGTGGTTTCATCACAAAAGATGGGATGTCGATCCATAAAGACAAGGAGGGCATGGTTTTGCGCCACCGACATCCCATGAGAGTTTTCGCTAGGAGAAGTTGGGGTCGATACTCAACCAGAGTTTCGAAACATATTTGTGGTATATACCTAATATAAAGCCCTTCCTGGGGTCTGACCATCCCCTTTTTTGTTTCGGATGTCGGGCTTTAAGCCACCGTGATCCGACCGTCAGTCAAGCCGTCGAGCACCAGCACCACCACTTGGCTCATGCCTAGTACAAGCACCACCCCTTTGGCTTATGTCGGGCGATCCCAGTGGCCGTGGAATGGGGGAGTGGCAGAACTCCGAGACTCCTCTGGGTGATAAAATCTGGGGATGAAGCACAAAAACCCATGGGCATTTAGATGATTTAGAGAACTTTCTGCTGGGATGGCGATGTTCAATCCTTTCATCGTTTTGTTAGGATAGGTTGACACTAACAACCAATGAACGACAAAAAAATGACAATTTTCCTTGGGATGGAGATCAAGACAGGACCTGTTGATGTCATGACGGACCCAATTGGTGAACTTCGAAACCGTGGGCTCATATGATGCGGCTGCCGCTTCTCAGTGGGACCTTATGCAACATGTACAGAAAATTACAGGGAAAAAACTACAGTTTTTCTCTGGATATTTTCAGCATCTGACATTTAGCCGGTAGAGATGTTGATATATGTTGATAATTATTGTGTTTTGTTTTCTTGCCGGTGTTTCCCATTTCCCAACACCGGGAAAACAGGAATTGTTTGCCGCAATGTGTTGCTGGAAAAGCACAAAACAATCCCCACACCAAACTGATCCGACCACAAGACTGTGTATGGCCATGTATGAAGTCTAGTTTTAAAGGTGTAAGCGGGTGACAGTCTGTCAGACAGACTCATTTACGAGTGACCAATCTTGTGTTGCTTGTTCATTCGTCCAAGGTCCTGCAGTCTCCGTATTTGAAGATCGGTCTACTGGGCAATGGAGGCAGCACGGGAGCTTGAAGTTAAGTTGGAAGGCTCCTTTTGAACTGCCAAAGCTTGGCTGATCATCACGGCATCACGGCTTTCCTGGGGAAACCACAAGTCCTTCATCATGTCTATCGCTGTCTTAAGTCATGTCAGTTGCCATTTTCTCTGGACCGGTTTCTGGCCTATGTTTGGCACTAGATAGGGTTTGGATCTCACTTTTTGGGTGTTTATGTGGTTTGACTCATACCTACATACATCTGAGATCATCTGAGTATATTATGAGTCTTCGTGCTATCTACCGGTATGTGCTATCACCCAACACCAAAGGACATACAACATTATATCGATTTTGGATGGTTTGAGGGGGTGTATTCATTCATATTGCAGGCTGATCCTGGACGGTCCCCATGTGAGAAACCCGGGAATCAACTAGAAACCATAGCTCCAATTTGGGAGGTAACTACCACCATTTCAGGTGATATTGGTTGAACCATGTTTTATATCTTAAGGTGTTGCCATGTTTTGCCATTTGGTGACTGGATGATTTTTCAGCCAACCTCGGCCTGGCTCAGCAGCTTGAAACGTGCCACACTGTGACACCCAAAAAGTCCAACGTGCCACAGCAACGTGGAGCCGCCATGCCGTGCGGCTGCCCACCCAAGTGCGACCCACAGGCGGTAAAGGCCAGAAAAACCTGGTGATCAATGGGGGGACAGACCACTGAAACAAATTGGGGTACTGTATGTTTTGTGAATTTCTGAGCTTTATACTTTCTACATTTTTTGACCATTCCAAGACCACATGCTTAAGCAGGAGCAGGATCCAGCACCGGTGTGTCTTAAAGATTCTTTTCAGTAGCGTATCCCGGGTACCCCCAATCCCAATGGATCTTTTCACTTCAGTTTCCCATATCTTTTCCCCATGTAAATGGCCACTGGCCGCGGTGAATGAAAATCACCAGGTCTTCATTTGTTGCTCCTGGCCTCCGCTTACCGATGAGTTGAACCATGGAGGATGTGGGCCCTGTGGGCCCTGTGGGCGGGGCGACACGGAGCGGTTGTGAACGTGGCTGATTAGTGGGATATTCATGGAATTAATAGGACAATAATCCATAGGAAATGGCTTAATTTTGAAGTTAATATTACCGGGATATTTTCAATACAATGGGAAATTAATAGGAATTATATAATTTGAATTAATTAATGGGATATCAATGGGACGTTAATGGCTATAAACGGATGTATTATGGGTTTAACTGGATGGTTTAGGTATAACACCAACCATACATCATTATGGGATGTGTATATATATGTAATATACATAATATATATATATTTATTTATTTATTTATCCATGAGCTATTATTGGGACCTCAATGGGATATAACCAACAAGATGGTGTGTGTGTGTATGTGTGTCTGCAAATGGGGTCTACAACCCCATTCGATGGCCATGTAAGTTGGGAGGATGAGGATGAGGATGATGATGATGATGATGATGATGATGATGATGATGATGATGATGATGATGATGATGATGATGATGATGATGATGATGATGATGGATGATGATAATGATGGTGGTGGTGGTGATCATGTAGATGATGTTGTTGATGATTTTGCTGGTGATTATGAGGGTGATGATGATGAAGATGGTGGTGATGATGATGATGATGATGGTGGTGGTGGTGATGATGATGATGTTGATGTTGTTGTTGATGATGATGATGATGATGGGGATGGGGATGGGGTGATGAAAATTGTGATGATGATGTTGGTGACGATGACGATGACGATGATGATGATGCTGCTGCTGCTGCTGCTGCTGCTGATACTGGTGATGATAGCGATGATGCTGGTGATGATGCTGGTGATGATGATGTTCATGATGATGAGATGATGATGATGATGATGATGATGATGATGATGATGATAAGGAGATAATAATAATGATGATGGTGGTGGTGGTGGTGGTCATGTAGATGATGTTGTTGATGATGATGCTGGTGATGAGGATGAGGATGATGAAGGTGGTGATGATGGTGGTGGTGATGGTGATGTTGATGTTGTTGTTGATGATGATGAACAGTTGGATTTAATGGAATACTTTTTTTTCAGAAAACTCCCTGACATGTCAGCTCAACAATACTGGGTTTGTGGTTTCAAACATCACGAGCATTTCACGATCCCAATAGATTGACCGATCCAGTATTTCACAGTCACGACCGTCACGACCTTCCAGTAAACCAACAGTTACAGTAACGAACTTGTATAGATGGCCCGGTTCGATGGCCAAGCTCCGCATAGGTGCATTTCCTCATCGTTCCCCCACTTGATTGGCTGGTGTATGAAGATAGGCTGCCTATAAAATTTCATGGTGAATCAGTTCATCTTAATTTTCGCCATTTTTGGCCTTTCAATGGGCGAAGATTTTCGCCATTTTCAGAGCCGGCAAGCCACTGAGGAAAGCCTTGGGAATCACCGACGCTGATTGGCAGGCGACCAAGAAGATCTGGGACTGCGGTGGCATGATGCTGATTGCATGCTGTGTGGTTGCGCCTCGCCATGCCAGCTTGATCCAGCTTGGGCCGCCAGGAGGTACCAAAGATGGAGGAAGGAAAACCACCTAAATTTGGAGTCAAACAGCAAAAAAAATGATGAAATCTCACCTAAACTGGGAGTCATTGGAGTGAATGTTTATGGCCTCAAATAGGTTGTGTGTTTTCTGCATTTCTTCAAATAATTCAGGGAGGAAATTATGAACGGATGGGAGTTCTCTGGACGTTTCATATCGTTTGATCACGAGCTCAGACGGTCGAACATAGGATGGTTTAAGTTTTTTTTTGTGTCTGAATCATTAGCATTCAGCCATCAGTTACCAACCATGTTTTACTGGATTGAAGAGAAGGTTGACAGCAAAGAGTGGACTCAACATGTTTTAAGCATCAAAAAGTCGAGGGGGTCCTTTCAGTTTTCTGTGAAAACATCAACGGTTTGATTGCTGTAGGAAGGTCCCATGATATCCTTATTTTTTGGTGATATTTGGTGATATGCTAATAGACACACACATATATATATATAATATGTATATATGAACATACAGGTATATGGATGATTTAGGTTTACAATGGAAAATCCTTTTAAAATGGATGATTTAGGGGTACCATCATTTTGGGAAACCTCCATATTTACATGTCGTTTCATCAAATGATGCCAATACTATATAATACCATATATATATATATGTATAATAATATATATATATGTATAATAATATATATATATATATGTATATCGTATGTATATTATATTATGTAAATATAATCAACACATACAGACTCCAATTCAACTACTAGCTGCGCTGCATACCCTTCGCATGGAGTACAGCCCTGTTTTGCAGCAATTACTCATGGCAATGCAATGCTATCCACTTCGTAGTTCCATCAATTACACGTCGACATTTATTCATTACATTAGAGTGGTCAACTACCACAATTCAATGGGATGATGTCTTTTATGCTTAGTAATAGACCATCTCATTAATTATTGGTAAACTAACCATTGCTAATGTATATACACTAAATTTGTAAACCCAGTAAGAAACCATCCCATTCACTAACATCATCCCAGTCAGAATGGAAAATACCCAGTTTCATATCCTTATATCCCATGATATCCCCATGGGACATCATCATCATGTCCCATGAATATTCCACTAATCCTTTATTAAGTCCATTGCATTTCCACTATCTTCCATTATAAATTATAAACATTTATAAACCCTATTAATTAATATACTACTATAATATCATATATTCTATCCCATTGGATCCAATAGGCACTGCCCGCCCAACGAAAACCCCTAAGGTGGCCATGGTGCTGGCGGGGATTTGCGCGGCCCTGCAATTTGGTGCTGGTGCCCGGGGGCCCGGCGAAAGGGGGCCGGTTCCGCCCCGGTTCCAACGTCGCTTCCAACGTGGTGCCGGGAAGTGGTCGTTGTGGATTGGTCTAAGGGATCCAAAACAAGGGGAAAAACCATAGTTTTAACATGATTGGTTGGTGGTTTGGAACATGTTTTTTTCCATATATTGGGAATGGAATAATCATCCCAACTGACGAACTAACTCCATGATTTTTCTGAGGGGTAGGTCAACCACCAACCAGTATATAGATATAGATATGGGATATCTACGGACGATCCTCGAAGCACCCAGGTCGACTTACCTCCTGACCGGCGAAACTTAGAGGATAACCATGGCATCCAAAGCCCACGGTCCGGTCGTTCTAGTTCTGATCCCCGATACATCTGCATTACCCATGACGGATCCATGGTGCTGCTATATATGGTAACATGGATCCCATCAACAAAAACCCCAGTCATGTTAGCATTAACATACCAGCACCATGGATCCGTCATGGGTTATGGATCGACCTGTGACGAAGGAATAATGAAACACTGAGTCGGGATGCGAATTATGATGGTCTTCAGGTGGTGAATTGAATATCTCACGGCATTTTTTTATGTCACGATTACTCCACATGATATTCCATTTATAAAACATATTAAAACATCAAAAAAACCTACAGTTTTGGTGATGTTAGTGGTTATTTTCGAAAGGTGGTGTTTTTTTTTCCAACCAATTTACGGGACTCCAAGAAACTCACCACGCCCCTCGCATAACTTCAGGTCAGTCCAGAGATTTGGGCCTTAATGTCAGCGACCAACCTGGCACGCTTGGCCAATTTCTATATCATTCCGACGCAAACGCTGAAGATTCAGAAACTCGCCACATCGTTACCCTCTGGTTATGTCAAAATAGCTATTGAAAATGGCCATAGAAATAGTGAGTTTTCCCATTAAAAATGGTGATTTTCCATAGTTATGTTAGTTTACCAGAGGGTAAATCTTCCAAAAACCATACAATGTGGGGCCCCCGGCCACGAGAACGCTAAGTTGGTGAACATAACTCCAATAACTATGGTTTATGGTACTTATAACTATAGTTAATGGGGTTTATAAACCAACTTATAACTGGGGGGCCCCACATTGTAGGCTTAATTTAAGAGTGGATTTTTAGACTGAGTGGAGGATCATGGACTTTAGAATCTTTTAATCTCTGGAATCTGAAGCTGAAGAAAAGCGTGTTCTAAGTCCCCTCTGGTAACGTAACATGGTTATGGAAAACACACAATTTCTCATATCAAGGTAAATTATATAGGTAATTAAATCATCTATAAGAAGTATATCATTTTCCATGACTTTGTTCAATTACCAGAGGATATCCTTCAAAATTACGTGATATTTAAACATTAAATAATTGTGTATGGGCTGTATAAGTATACTGGAAGCTCAGTGTTGGCCTCGACTACCAGTTTGGTTCATGTCATGACTTGTCCGTCCCCAATGATGAACTGAACGCATGGCATTTCTCATCCAAAACCAATGGACTGCCGGACTGCCATTGGGTCAAAATTTCATGGTCCAATTGAAAAGTGAAACTGTGGGCTCAGAACGTGTGCGTTTCATGGGGCATCTGGATCCACGGGAAAGTCTGCAAAAAAGCTTGGGGAATTATTAAACTGTGAAAGTTATCGCGGAAAGTAACGCTTTATCTAATTGCATTTAATTCCTAGGTTTGGAGATGGACCCGCCATCCTTCTCATGCTTTGAAAATTGATTTTGGCATGAAAAACTTCAGCCTTCGCACCCTCGCACAGTTCCTTTTTTTGAGAATATAGTAATTGTAAATGATGCTTCAATCATCATGTTGGCTGGGCAGATCAGCATAGCAGGCGAGTCCGTCCTATTTTTGGAGACACCCTTTTTCGCCACGGATGCACCTGTTTTTTTTTCGCTGGTCATCTGGACGCATTTTTTTACCCATTGACCATCAGCCCCATCAACATTGGTTCGGTAAAAGCCAATAGGAAACCAAATCCAGGAACCAACCATTGGAGTTCATTTTACATGAACCCAGGAACCAACCATTGGAGTTCATTTTACATCATCCAATCATCATCCCACTTATTGGTGTATATCCAATTTTAAAGGGCCAACTGGGGTATGTTGACTAAAAAAAAATGTGACCGTCTGGTTGGCGGCCATACCATATTTCATCGGCGTTACCATCAATGAAATACATTTAAGTTTTGATGGGTACATTGAGGGTCGAGGTACTGTACATGTTGGTCAACAAGACACGTTGGAAATCACTGGGTTCTACTTGAGGTTGTAACCCCAATGGATTCCTGTCACATTCTAAGCTTTTGCCTGATAGGAATAAGTTGATACTCAATCATCGTTGACCAAATTGTTTTTTGAGCCCCAGAATTCATGGGTAGATATTGGACTTACTGTCCACCAGATTCAAGTAGGTCCACGGGTAAAACACACCCATTTTTGATTTTTGAATACCCAAAAAACGGGCTCCATCACGGTCCATCTTGCCCAAAAAATCTGTGCGGGGCAAGGAATGAGATCTATTCGAAGAAGAACATCAAGGTCACTTTTCTCATTGAATTCTGCAGCGACTTGGACCAGCTGGTTTGAGTTGGACGCAAAAAATGAGAGGTGGGATTGTTGGTCCTTTTTGGACTACTTAGTGACTTAGTTGATGCCATACCCAACATGTTGAGTTGGATACCCCGAGCCTCGCATCGTGTTGTAGCCCGGCTGTTGATCTTTAGTCTCGGGAGGCCATCTGAGTGGGATGATTCGCATTGCTGACAATACATGATACCCGGCCTGGTAATTTAATAGTTTGCTATTGAAAATGACCATAGAAATAGTGAGTTTTCCCATTAAAAATGGTGACTTTCCATAGTTATGTGGCTGTTTACCAGAGGGTATTCATTCCCGAAAATGACCCCTTGTGGTTCCTCTTGTGGGTTCCTGGGATCGATGTCAAGCAGTTGTTTTTTTAAATTAAAGCGGCCTTAGGGTCCAAGAGCTGTGCAATCAACATCTACAGTCTTGACTACTTAGATGGGCCATGGAGTTAGTTAACTAGTTAGTAAATGGATTGTAATTGGGATATAGGGGGTTATATCCCCAGTTACTAACCATTTAGCTAATCCCATGGCCCATCTAAGTATACTTGGAACTTCAAAACCATCTTTCTTTGCTCATGGCTTTGTTTGAAACTAGAATGCCCCCATGGTAAAAACCATCATCATCATCTCCATTTCAGTTCTTGGGTATACCCCACAGAAACGAATAAAAGTCACAGAGTACCACCCTCTGGCATTTGTGTATTTGGGAGGTGTGGCACCCAGAAAATCCAATCTGCTCTTCGGATCCAGGGGGGGCCTGTCTTTTTAATAGGCCAGGCAACCCACATTGCCATTTTTATGGGCAAAATGATTGATAGACATTGACATCGGGACTGCTACAATTGCTGAACATTCTGTCCAACTGATCAAATCATGTCTCTTTTGTCGCTGAACTCATTCTTCAACCCTGGAAATTTCACTAAATTCAAATCATATCGAATCCCCTTTGGATCATTTTCGGTGAATGAAAAATCCTAAGTTTCCTCTCATTTTCTGGACCACCAAGCTTCCAGGCGAAGGGTTGGCATTTTCGGCCGAGAAGGGAGCTCAAACATTGGGCGCCCCCTAAAACGGGAGCAGAACAAGAGCGTCGAAAAGGGGCCAAGCGTCCTCTGGTTTCATCAAACATGGCGGGCCGCGCTGGGAAATCCTCAATAACAATGGCAGATTTTAGTCTTAATGGGAAAATGATCTAGACATGGGGTAATTTCTATTTAAATTGCAATGACTTCACTGCGATGTCACTATGATGATGAATGTTTTTTGGGGAATCATCCCCAAATGGCCGCAAGTTGCAGCCAGAATCCAGTGGTAAGGAGGTTCTGGAGCTAGGGGTATAAAAATGTTGCGCCATGCCCAGTTGGGACTATTTAGAGTTTCCCAACCACATGATATAGGTAATATATATATATATATATTCATAGATGGTAATATTGGATTTGACCATCCCTACAACTCCGAAACGCTTTTTTCCGCAGCGGGGATTCAGATAGCACAATCAAAATTGTGGATTTAAACCATCAAAATGATGTTTTTTTTTTTTTTCCGCATCGGAAGTACATTTTTTCAGGGGCCAACACTAATCGTTTTTGAATGTTTCAGAAATGGATACCCGGGGGGGACATCGATTCATAGGATCATGCTATAGGTGTTTTTTTTTTTCAAACCTATACTGGTTGGTGGTTTGGAACATTTGGATTATTTTCCCATAATATATGGGAATATATGGGATAATCCTTCCCCACTGACTTCATATTTTTCAGAGGGGTTGAAACCACCAACCAGTATATGACGGTGAGTTTTACTGACCATGTTGCAATATTAGTCACTGCTGATCTTATCGACTTGGAGTTGTGAAGTAGCTATGCTCAACGAGCTACGCTGACCTACGCCATATTTTTTTCAGCTGGGACAAAAATCTGCATCATCTCAACATCATTCACACGTTGTTCATGTTTCTACCATTTACTACTATGAACACTATTACTAAATTACATTATAAATTGCCATCATTATTTACACACTATGAATGCTATTACTACTATAATTTGCCATCATTATTTACACACATATTGACAAAGATACCAAACATCAGACATTGCTCGCAGTAAGAGGATGGTCACCTGGGACGCCTTGTCTGCCACAACTCCTGGGGAGAAATGGCCCAGTGATTTCCCAATTCACTGCTGCCGACCCATAGGTCCGGGCCAATGGATCGCAGGTATGGTTGTTGTATGGTTGTTGTGTTTGAGCTGAATGAGCTTAAAGATAATGGGGCTGCACCTGACAGTGGGATTTAAAAAAGCGGTTTCAAGCATTGTTGCTTCGCCTGATCTTCTCTGAGACTTCTTGTCCCATGCGCGGCAGTGAATGTCTTTGGCAAAGCGGTTTTAAGCTTGGTTTCACCGTGGGGGAATCCCATCCTTGACAACCTGATGTGACAGTGAGCATTGCGGCTGACAAGGACAGTGCAGAGAGGAGGTCATTTTTATTCTGATATGGGCGTGTCTGAAAATGGGGTATGCACCCAAAACAGCAAATTCAATGTGCAAAATGGTGATACACATTGATAGCCCATTGGACCTTAGGGTACCACATTTTCAGACAAACCCATGTTGATGATAGATGATGTTCCCAGTCATACACATCCAAACATGTGGTGATTTGAAAATGAATCCAACTCTTCAATGTTTCTAGGGAAGTGAATGCCACGCTGAAAAAGACTCAGTGTCTCGTCGCCCAGTTGTCTTCCCGTGTTGACTGATGTTACATGGGCCATGACCAGAATTAGCCATGCTGCGAAAGTGACCGCAGAAAGCTTGAACTCACAGCGCAGCGTTCGCACGTGCAAAGACCGGTGGAAGAGTTTGCTGGCTTCTGGTGGCCCCTTAGAAAAACATAAAAAAAAACATAAAAAAAACTGTTGCTTCTGTGGCCGATTCCGAATCCCTCGAGCCATTGAAATCATGTGGGGTGTCTTTGGCTGGTACAAAGTGATCCTTCAAAAATCCAAAGTAAGATCAAGTGCGTCACCATCAAAGCAGGAGGGAATATAAATATATACTGTTTTGTTCTCTTTATTGTTGGGGATATAAACACATCCACATCCAAATCATCACCATCGCCATCCCCATCGCCATCATCCTCATCCTCGTCCTCCTGTCCCTGGTCCTGTCCTTATCCTCCTCATCATCTCATTCGGATCTCGAGACGTGGCAGGCCTGGGCCAACCCTTCTACAAGTCCACCAAGGGCACGGGCTGGACCAAGTTGACTTACAGCCAACTGCATCTGAGTACAACTGTCAAGGCGCGGCCGTTGGATTGCCTGGGCACTGTTCAGGATTGGGCCGACACTGGAAATTCATGGCTTGTGGGGGGAAGAAACCCTGGTATTTGTTTTTGACTGTTTTTGCTTCATTGTGATATGAACTAAATAAATGAATTATAATTATATATATAATTATATATATATACTGTAATATTACGTGTGTAACGAGTGTGTACATATATATATATATATACATACATAGTATTTAGTATATATTAGTGATTATTTATGTAATGTATCCAGAATCTTTGGGTGGAGCCCGGAAAAAAGATCGGATGGGCTGTCTTCAGACGGCTCGTGGGATGTTCTCGCTTTCAGCTGGGGCTGATTTTTGGCAAGCCTTAGCAATACTTGGCAGCCATGATGATTGCCTTGGCAGCTGACTTTGGGGCTCATTCCCTGCATTCCTATGATGATCAGAGAACGGTTGAGAGAGGCAGTTTCTGCTGGGGGTAACTGTTTAAACAGCATATTCCTACAACATCATACAACATATATTCCAGTGTCTCGGTGATATGATGATGACGTGATGATATCTTGAATTCCCTCTGGTAAACATACAAAAAGCTATTGAACATGGCCATAGAAATAGACGCTTTGTCCATTAAAAATGGTGGATTTTTCCATAGTTGGTGATGTTTTTCGTATGTTTACCAGAGGGTCAGGAGGGTATCTGGTGATGTTTTTTACCATGTGTATCTATGCCATCCCCAGTTTCCCTATGTTTCCCTCCGGAAAACGATGACACTTCACTGCCAGATCGACGGCGAGATTGCAGACTTGGGGCGTGGCACGGCGGAACTGGGAACCGGCTGGCTTCGATCGCCCGGCTGTGTGATGTTTCTAGGGATATGATGAACTTCGATCAATATGATGAATATGGCCATGGTCAAATCAATATATGTCCATTGTCAAATCAAATCCTTTGTTGCCAGCCAAATTTTGCTTTGAAGTTCCTTGAACCATTTCGACCTTAGTCTTTGAGCTCTTGAAGGAGCCCTGTGGGCGAGCAATTTGATGGCCCACTGGGGCCCACTAGAGCATCGCACCCCTAAGGGGCGTGTGCTCTCCTGGGGTTTCGCTTGTCTTGTTTGAAAGTGGTTCAAAGTCTCTAATCTAGGGAAGCAATGTTTGGACAGACTTTCGACAGCCACAAAAGACATCAAAAGACTTTAGCACTTCGTGGCATGCCAACTCCGCAAATTAGAGCAATGTACTTCCCACAGAATTAAACACGTGAAAGATGACTTGACCATCCGACAGTACATGACCCAAGACCCCTCTGGCCGGTTATTATTCAACAAATTGTAAATTGACGTTTCTATTCATTGCAAGTATAGCCATTGACATTGTGTAGGTCACAGCGGTAGGGCAGTGACCATCCAATCATAGATGATTTGGGGTTCTTGAGAGCAAATCTCATTTTCTACATGATTTGTCATATGCGATCATATTTCATCAATTTTCATCACTGATTCGTAACATCTTCTATGATGTTTATGATATTTTGTGATGTCTTAGTGAATTATGCAGCCAGAAACGTTGAATCATCCGATCATCCCCTTTTATTATGTCCAATCCCAATCCGCATTTAACAAGTTATTGTTTAGACTTTGAAACGATTATCACGTGTACCAATCAAACCCATTTCATATCCCGTAATCATTCAGAATCATCCGTTCTCATCCATCCATAATCCATAATTTTCCATAATCATCCATCATCCATAACCATCCATAATCATTCATTGTCCATAATTTTTGCCGCCCCATATCCATCATTATCCATCCATATCCCACAAACGCCTTCGCGAGACTTCCCGGACCCCGAGGTCGAGTGAGTTTGCACTTCCGCGACGCGGAGTACTGCACCGTCACTGAGGAGCTGAGCGTCCGCGGGGTCACGCAGGCGCGCAGGCTACAAAATCGGGGGGTTGGAAGGTGCAATTCATTGGACGGAACTCAGCAAGAAATTGGGATTTCATATGATTTCATGGGGTATTTTAATGACTGGTTGGTGGTTTGGAACATTTTTTGATTTTTCCATAATATATATGGGATGTCATCCTTCCCATTGACGAACTCATATTAAATTATTTTTCAAGATGGCTATTGCACCACCAACCAGCTGGTAATTTTTCCATGGGGATATGAGATGATAGAAGATCTGCAACTCCAAATGATCTCTGGGGATCATTATCTTCGTCTGCGACGTCAGAATGATGGTTAGGAGTGGCTAACGATCCAAGAATTGCCACCATAATTAGTGATAACTGCTTGATCCAGAAACATGATGGTTGCTGGAAGAAGTGATGGCTAGTATTTAGTGGAGCTTGAAAATCATTCTTTCTTTCATCGGTTATGGGCTTTCAATCATTCAAGTAAATCAATTATGGCTTCAAATCATGTTTTTTGGATTCGCAGTAAACTATGTAGGTGTTGTGGCATGTGGGAAGATAAGATCCTATTCCTTTAGGAGGATTTTCCTGCGCCGGGATCATTTGTGTGTCCGCCGAGTATGTTAACTTACCAAGACAACGTACGGGTTACTCACATATTTGGAAGTTGGAAGTCATGCGTGCCAAGAAATTATTTTGCCACCACTGAGATTTCTTAATTGGATAGTCAAGAGCACTCTTGGACTTTTAGGCACACCCCATCCCAAGGTTTTTTCCAAGCGGCTGGATGAACTAGGAGCTGGTGGGATGTTGGAACTTGTAGATGGGAGAAATTGAGATGTGACTTCCCTATCAAGGGTAAGGATGTACTGTATGGGTCACCTCAGTATTTTGCAGACGAAGACCGTATGATGTCATTCATTCTATTCATGGGGTATTCACCAGCGTAGAAAGGCTTTCGCTGCGCTCACTTCGATCCCTAACAAATGATACAAATGGCGTGCCGGGATGACTTTCATTGGATAATAATATGACTGATTGGTGCTTTGGAACATGACTTTTATGACTTTCCATATATTGGGAATGTCATCATCCCAACTGACCAACTCATATTTTTCAGAGGGGTAGGTCAACCACCAACCAGTATGATGAATTACCCTCTGGTAAATTAAAATAACGATGGAAAATCACAAGTTTTCGTAGGTAAATCAACTATTTCTATGGCCATTTTTAATAGCTATGTAACAAATTACCAGAGGGTAACTATTATTAACCATAGATTATCCATATATTAACCATATATTAACCATGTTAAATTACCAGGCCGGGTACCATTTGGGACCGGGTTTCTCCCGGTCCCCCCATCTCCGCTTAAGCCGCTTGGACTCCAAGGCAGTGCTAAAGCGCTACTTGGCGAGTCGCGACCGGTGTTTGGTGCGATTTCACTGTTGTTCGTTGTGGATTAAGGGAAAAATTACAGGAAAGCACCATATAATTATGGGAAAATAACTCTGGTTTCCGGTAAAGATTTTCCCACCAATCCACTGTTTTGAATTGAGGATCCAAAAGTCCAAGTGCTTGGTAATGTTTGGTATCTCTTCAACTCTGAAGTTCAAAACTCAACAGTGTGACCGTCACAGTGTGCCTTTCTTTTCTCCCACGAAATTTTTCAGGAAAAGCCCCAAAGCCCGGTTGAACCGATTGCGCAGTGCAGCTGCATCTGAGGAACCTACAGTTTCACGGGGAATGGCCTGGTATTTCAAGCCAACTTCAGTTTCCAAGCGCTCAAGAATTTGGACAACGTGGAGGCAGCGACGAAACTCAACGGATGAAAAAATATTGTCTGGGGCATGATTTTTTTGCAGCACTAGACTGGATTGAAGTATCAGTTGAATGGAAATGGGTCACGACTATGACAATTGTATATTATAATATTATTTATATATATATATTATATTGTATTGATATTGATATTAATTTGATATTATATTATCTTATAGTATAGTGAACCTTCCAAAATGGAAAATCTAATTCTAAGTATTACCAATGTTGTGGGTTCAGAGGTGTCCCATACCCGGCAAAGGACTGCTGCCACACTTGGGGAAAAAACTGATGCAAGCCGATGGCACTAGCCTGTGAATTTAGAGATTGAAATGATAATGTTGTTAGTTTCCGTTCGTTTCTGGACATGGTACAATCTTGGTCTGTAATTTCTTTGCCTGAATTTGAGTGATGTGCAAGATCAGAGCAGTTGCATGCGTTGGTACCATTTGATTCTGCCACTGGCATCCACTGGCTTAACTACATAGTATGCTTCATCCCAGCTTTTACATTTTAAATATTATATACACTTAATCCAAGTTGTCCCACTTGAATTGAGTGTTGAACCAGTTTTTGTTGCTTGAAGCAAGGATTGAAGACTTGAAGTCACCCAAAAATCCGCTAAGCGAAAGGTTTGGTTTGGTACGTCCGACGACTGGATCGGTACCACTGATCGCCCGTTGAAGGAGCAAGGCGCAACGTGCGTTAAAGGATGGATTGATTGAGATTCATTGCGAGGGATTCTATATCCATGATACGGTTTGCCATTCCCATAGGATCCATGTATGCTATATATGGTAACATTTACCATCAATATACCCCCAATGTTAGCACATATACCATACATGGATCCTATGGGATTATGTGATGGATGATCATTTTTACCATAATACGGATTATACGGTTTCTCTTATGTCAGCAGTGCCATATGGACCTGGAAAACGCTTACTTCATTAAAAAAAGCTTTGTGGTGTTCGCAGCCAGTCTCAAGTACATACTGTTACTGTAACAGTAATGGTAATGATTGTCCATTCATTAATAATCATTGGTCAAGTACTCTCTGGTAAACTAACATAGCTATTGATAATGGCCATAGAAATAGTGAGTTTTCCCATTAAAAATGGTGGATCTTTCCGTAGTGTTTTGTATGTTTACCAGAGGGTACCTTTCAGACCATCCTCGTCTTCAATCACAAAGCCGCCTCTTGGCTAAGGATCATCCCATCAGCATGCAAAAACGAATCATAGCCTTCTTGGGGCTGCTGTGAAAATGGGGTATACCGGTATACCCCCAAAAATAACCATGTCATAGGGTGATAGGGAGAGGAGAATGAGGATAAAGCATTAGAATTATATAGGTAGAATTAGTGGGTATTCTATTTTCAGACAATCCCCTGCCTATGTTTGGCACATCCCGACCCCCCAAAAATCATGCCTTCCCCGAAGAAGATTTGCCCCGCAGGGAAATTTGTGGAGCGTAGCTTTGAGCCCACGGAGCATGGTCACATCTTGCGTGTTCATTCAGGCGCATGGATGGAAATGCCACTGCAACAAAGGGACTGGAAGATGCCAATGACATTCTGTTGAATGCCTATGATATTGCTATATCATTTTGCTATGTGTAAGAAAAAACATGTTGATTCGATAGTTTGTTTTGTTTCTTTTTCGGTTTTGCCATATGTTGTTATGTTTGCTACTTCTTCCTTCGGCGGAAACTGCAACTGATTAGTTGCAATTTATCTCTCTGCATCTGAAGATGGTCTTAAGTCAGTCGCTGTAAGGTATGCTTGAAACTGGAATGTTTTGGTGAACACACCGGAACCATCCTCTTGTTTTAGTCGTTTCAATCTTCACTTCGATTGATCTTAACATTCAAAAGCCACATGTTCCGATGTTTGCTTGAGACAATGCAAGATGTTTGTCTCAGAAAACCGCCCGTTTGTTTTCATCAACAAAATGCTGACCAGCAACCAGCGCAGTGTCATTGTCTTGGTGCTCCCCACTTATATAATTATAATTAATTATATATAATTATATATATATTAGTTATATGAGTTGGTTTATAAAACCCACCCGCACATATATATATATATATTTCTACATCTACCATGAAGATCCATAAAGCATTGTTAATCTAATATAGCTATTGTGTTTTTTTTCAGCCTAACTTCACCAACTCTGGCCACCTTGTGGAGGTCAACTGTCAGCATCTGTCAGCTCAGGCGATGAAAACGTCTTCGTGTTCTCAACGCATCCGGACAGCCACGCCATCATTCGAGCTGAGTATGGACGTTGGTCGCTGATCCATGTGAGGGCCCAAGGATGGCGAGTGCAGTCTGGGTCACCAAGAGCAAGATGGATGGTATGAGCATACCCATAGGATCCATGTATGGTATATATGCTAACATTTGGGGTATATTGATGGTAAATGTTACCATATATATATATATGGATCCTATGGGATAGATCAAGTTACTTCATCAATCTTGATCATAGTTTTCATAGTTTTCCCATGTCAATTGGGGGGAGGAACATCCAGAAACTGCCACAGCTACTGGTGTTTGGTGAGCAGGATCCCCAACATCCGCAGGCGGCCAGACATTCTGAACTCGCGAGTTCGAGATCCGATGGCGCCTATGGCATCTACGTGCCTTGGCCGCGGGCCGCATCACAGACTGGGAACTGAGCAGAAATGGATGGGGAATTCTTTGGAGCAACACATAGCAACAAGACATGGGTGATTTTTTGAGCAAAAATAAGAAAGGGCGCCAAGCAGAACTGAGGCTTTGAAGCCAAGAATGGCGATAGAGATTTTCAACAGCCAAAATGGGGAAGTTCATTTTTCATCGGCCAAAAGGAATGAAATTTAACATGATTTAATCAACCAATGGCTTTAAAAATGTGCCCCAGCCATGGAATCGCGCTGCATTTGAACCATGAATTCCCTTTTTGAAATGGTTGGCTGATGTTGGTTGCTCCATTTTGATTGGGTCAATGGAACCAATCTGACCCATATCTTTCTCATTTTGACAAACGCCGCCACGTCGGCGGGAACTTGAACCCATTTTCGCTACAAAGGAGGTGCGTGTCATCGATGAATTGCTAGGGAATTCTCCAAGAACTCCCGCCCCACAGACGCCGCAGACTCTGCTCATTTCTACAATGTTAAACCTGATTTCTACAATGTCTACAATATTGCCAGCCATTTGCCCAGCATTTTTTGTGACTGAATTCCGGTTCCGGACATGTGATGCCAGGTGCCTCTGGGAAGTTTTCGACCCCAAGCCAGCCATTCTGCTTCGTTCTTCTATGCAGTCTCTTGGAGTGAGGTGAGAATCGGCCAGGGTGAGGCTACAGATCTACAGTGGTCTACAGATCTTTCAGGGCATTGGCACAAAACGTGGTAAAACCGGCCATAAACCTCCAATCGTTGTGGCTTCATCATGTTTTTTCCACATTTAGGCCAGCTATGTCTGGTGAACTTGGGGAAAAAGAGGGTCTGGTCCGTTCTGTTTCGGGTGTAAACCATGATTCCATTCATGTTCCCATTTCTCATCAATATTCCAATATTACATCTCAGTACATCCCACTACACCCCAGAAAAAATCTCTATTAATTGTTAAATCTCCATCAAATCCCCCTAAATCTCCATTGGATCCCCCTGAATCTCCATGAAATCGGTTGACCACATGGGAAATTCTGCGACCTGTCCGAGGCGGCCGAAGCCTCACGTCTGGCGGAGCTATTGGATCATGCCAGTGCGGTGGATGGAGGCATTTGTGCCAGTTGATGGGGTTTTAATGGGATTTTATGGATTTAACTATCAACTTGATAGGGATCTAAGGGGATTTGATGGGGTTTAATGGGCTTTGATGGGATTTTTATGGGGTTTGATGGGGGTTAATGGGAGATTTATGGCGATATGAATGGGATTTGACATGATTTTATATAGTGGGAAAACTTATGAGAATCACCAAAACCTGATTTGGATGTGTCTGAAATGTGGCCCATACTGTATCACCCAAACTGCATTTTCAAATGGAAATTGATGATAAACTGCTGGATTTTGGGATATCCTGAGACAAAGCCGGATGGTTCATTAATACGGGTTATCATTCCAAGAAATTTGAAATTATAACCAACAATAGTTGAGACTTAAGCAACAACTTGGGACATGTGCGTTGACCATTGAAGCTGAATCAACCGAAATCAGCCGTCTACGACGGACATCTTAAGGATGAGTTCACAAGGATAGGCCTTAAATGTTTGATGTTAATGGGGCGGAGAATCCCATAATTGACGCTGAATGTTGCCTTGATAGCTGCAAGGCTGGTCTAATTTACCTGTTGTCACTGCAACTGGAAGATCTTCCTAAACTTCTGGAAATCAGGTGCACATATATATTTCTGATGCCCTGTTTTGTGCCAATGCATTTGAAACATGTTGAAACCATAAAAGGTCAAACTAACAGAAACTGGTTGGTGGTTTGGAACATGATTTTTTTCCCCAGATATTGGGAATGTCATCATCCCAACTGACTAACTCCATCATTTTTCAGAGGGGTAGGTCAACCACCCACCAGGAAACCAACATAAACCCACCATTTTGGCATTTCTGAAGGGGTCGGGTGCCCCGCTTTGACCTTGCTGGAATTTCAGGAGATCCCGCCTCCAGTACCACTGTGGGGACGCCTCCCAGTACCACCAGCACCACGCTGCTGGCCAACGTGCCTCAGAGTGGAACAGGGCCGCAAAGGTTTCAGGTGTAAGTTTTGTCCAGCAGATTTGTTAATTTGTAGATCAATATAAATAACAATAAATATACAATAAATATACTATAACATAGCATATATGATAGAAATATATAGAAATATATTATACCGCATGAAGTGTCCAGAAATATTTAGATACAGAACGGGTTTGCCATGCCGAAATCGCCGCTGAGATGCTTGAGACGTCCTTCTTGCGCTTCAAACTCCTGGATCGGGGAGGCGGACGGCGGTTGCCGCAGATTTTTGTGACATATGGGGATCCTCAAAACATCTCAAAACCATGGCTTTCAATACTAAAACACATCTACTATAGTCATGGTTTGGGGTACCAGCATAGTACCTCATAGTATATTTTTTGGTACTGAGTATGGTTTTTAATATCCTCAAAATATCTCAATTTTGGATGATTTGGGGTGCCAGAATTTTCGGAATGACCTTGAAACATCTGTCATCATCTGTCCATCCCTGAGAGGGTCACCCATCCGGTCTTGTCGAAGGACCCCTGAAAAAAGGTGTTTTCTTTTTCCAGTCATAAGTTGGTTCTGGAAAGCAGCAAACTACAGATGTGTATTATAAGACCATGTACTGTATGTATATATATATTATAATATATACATGTATATAAATATACAAATATAGACGTAGATGATACATCCACCACAAATCCAAATTGACCAATTGACTTGCTTATAACCAACCTAGCCGTTCTTTTTTTTTCCATCACAACGGTATCCTGTGGTATCCTGTCGCCGTAGGTTTGGGCCAGCCCTTCTACTACTCGCCTTATGCTGGATGGACCCAGCTCACATATGCCAACAAGAGCCTGGAATGCACCGTCAAGGTGCGACGGGCAGAGTCAGATTGATCCAAAGGCAGGTACCCGGCCTGGTAAACATACAAAAAAAACTATGGAAAATCCCCACTTTTCATAGATCAATCAACTATTTCTATGGTCATTTTCAAGATGTAACAAATTACCAGAGGCTATATTCCCATTAAATCCCTATCAATCACCATACAATCCCATTAAATCACCCTTAAAATCCCACTAATTCCCTATTAATCACCACAAAATCCCATTAAATCACCATTTTTAATAGGTAAATCACCTATTTCTATGGCCATCTATGGCCCCATTTCGTCTTCAAAGACACCGCCCTGCGTGCAGGTGGATGGCAACATCATGGAGGTTGATAGCCGCTCGCTCAGTGGCGGATGTGTTGTTTTTTTTCAACGAAAAACACATGGACTGGGACTGGTGGAACATTGGTTTAATATGGGATAATGATGGTTAATGATGGTGAATAATGGTTAATAATCACTGCTTGGTGGTTTGGAACATTTTGGAACCATGGAATTTTATGACTTTCTCCATATGTTGGGGATGTCATAATCCCAACTGACGAACTCCATCATTTTTCAGAGGGGTTGAAACCACCAACAAGTGGAGATCAATCAATGGATTTTCTACAGGACACCAAAAATGTTCCCATTAAATATTGGGTTTTCCTGTAAATTTTCCTTGAAACCGATCTAATGAATCAAGGCATCCAAAAATGGGACTTCAACTGTTCAACTAGCATTTTTTTTATTTTTATTTTGAGATATAAAGAGATGAATTAAAGATGAGAAAATTGCGATGACTAAATGTGGACTTGACTATCAGTGAAGAGAAAACATGGGGATTTAACTATCAGAAAATGATCCTTTCACACGACCATTCCACTCACAGGTGGCAGTATTTAAAGGATGCCACATCCTCGTTGATGTTTTTGCCATCTTATCCTTCTTAATTAAGGAAGATACACCAAACATCACCAAACACTGAAACAAAAAAACAACAAACATCATAGTCATCACTCTTTGATCACTCATTCATCAGCCCATAGTCATCACTCATTCATCACAGATGGCCATCACTCATCATCTGCAGGCGACCGGGACAAGGTGAAATGGTGGGATTATGAAAATGCCATGGCAACCACCCAGTTGCGGCGTCAGGGTGTCCCTTCTGCTACTTGGACCTGCGGGGGATAGTGCAAGAAAATGCCTAGTGGTGCTGCTTTACGGACCAGACATGGTGGGTATTAACCACCAAAACAAAGAGGCTTAGTGGTAAATTGACTTTAAAATCTATAGTTTATGAGGTAAATCTATTGTAAAATATTGTAAAGTTTCTCCAATATATCTGACCAGACATGGGTCGTGAAAGCCATCCATGGTCAATTGGGTTGACCATATTATATCCCGATGTTATAGTCCCACAGTATTTGAGCCGTCACAAAGCAAGTTTGATCTACCACAGTTGCGACCATTCACCCACTCAAAATCTAGCAGCTTCAGGGTGCAGTCCCCAAACCAAAACCATCGAACAAGATCCGAAATGCCGAAATGATTTACTCAATCGATCATCCAACCAATCAACCAATGGTTATATCAATATATCAATATAAAATCATCCATTGGATATTTGATCATCCATGGTTATATCAATATCCAATCATCAATATAATATATGATATAAATGATATAAATCATCCAAACTGAATTTTTATGTCCAAAGTGCCCAGAAAATCTCGCTCTCCTGCTCGCCCGGTTTTCAGGCTACGTTAACCAGACACTTGGCGTGCGAGGTCTGGGATAGCCTGGGACTGGTTCACTTTCTCCTTTGGGATTTCAAATCATGATAAAATGGGGATTTTTTCACTGCCAAAATGATGCTTAAATCATGTGACATCCCCATGTATGATCCTCTAAAAATGTTGTGACATCCCCATCTCAAATCAGAACAAAGTTGCGAGAAATGGGGATCCCAACATCACAAATGGGGGCATTGCACTAGCAGCTTTTATGGGCTTCCATCGCATCACCTTTTTTTATAAAATCCCAAGCCGAGTACGGCTTGATGATCAACCCCCCAGGCTTGAAGAATTACCCTCAGGCAATCAAACATAGCAATTGAAATCCCAAAAGAAAGACATGTTTTTATGGGAACATCAACTAAACATGGTAGATTTTCCATTGCCAAATTTGATTAGCAGAGGGTATACCAAATACATGACGACATTGTTTGGATGTGTTTGAATGATTTATTTAGAATTATTTTTAGTTTAACAGTTATATAAACATAGTTAAACCATGTTAAACCATGTTAAACTATTCACTGACAGCTCTGGTTTGGAATTTAAAATCATCCAGACATTTGCAGCTCAGGAAGTTACGGCTTCAAGCAGGACAGGGGTTGGTCTCCTGTGGTGATTTCAGTTATTTATATAGACATCAACAAAAGAGGTAAACACTAACATGATCTCTCCCCTTTCTGCGATTTTGGACATCAAGGGAAAAAGGGTGTTCATCAGCACGTGTTTAGTGTTTCCTTATGTTTCGTTTAGACGTTCCCAAGAGCACTCCAGTAAACCTATAGAAAAAGAATCTTTAACAGATCTTGGAAGATATTGGGACAATCCACTTTCAAGTCGATCATTTTTCCCAACGTTTTCCCATGGTTTTTCCAATGGTTTTTCCAATGGTTTTTCCAATGTCGACGTTTCCTGCACCGTTGTTTCAACCCCCAGGAGGGCATGATCTTCATGGCCAATTTCAGCTTCACTGCTCTGACGGATATCTCCTCCTTGGAGGCCCCCCGTGTGGTCCCTTTTTGTTACCGGAGACTCCTGGAAAAATATGAAAAGCTCATGGGAAAATCCATGGAAAAACCACGGAAACATCCAGGGAAAATGATGAAACTGGACAAATCCATGGAACATTTTTGGGAAATTTCGGGGGATAATCCATGGGCAATGAAAAAAATCATCTGAGCAGTGGCTGCGGTTACACTTCTTGGTTGATGATTAGTTGGGGGATCATACTACCTTTATAGGCCTTGGGGAATATCACACGCCATGAACGGGAAATCCCGTTACCAACCAACCAGTAATATCCAGCAATTACAAAGGGACGACACACTGTTTCTGAACACATCTGGTAACTGAACGCTGGCCATGGAAATCATCTACAAATGGGTCATTTTGCCATATTTTGCCAACCGTGAAATTACTATAGATATGCAGCAGTAGGTGTCTTTTTTTCCCATCCCTAAGATGAAGATGGAACGAAGCTTGAATGAACTCGTTGGAGTTAAGTGGCCCTGTCAGGCATAGGTAGGTTTTGAAGCTGCAGAATTCCCCACTTTTTGATGGCCTTACTTTGAAAACTACCCCATACCAACACTTGATATCAGGGATCTCAGGTTTCTGCATGGATCCCAGGGATACCTAATGCCCAGGAGATCTCAGGAGATCTGAGTTGCTGAGAATTCCATGATTCCAAAATAGATCCAGCTGCAATGCGAAGGGCTGGCCATTTTGTTTATTTGTGCAGATAGGCGGATACTGACCATGGCAATGGCACAGCGTTGAACACCCTACTGGGGATGATTTGTGAGTTTGATGTATGGGTAAACCACCAAGCCGCAAGCATTTCATGTCACAGATTGCCTCCCAGGCACCGTTCCCAGTGACATTTGTTGGCGGCCTCATATGATCACACCATGAAAATCATGACATTATCATGACTAATCTTGTTGGAACCATCAAACATGGCGAACTAAAATGCTCTAAATATCTCTAAATGGGGACTGAGATAGGCTGCAATTGATCGGAATCTATCCAGATGATTCCTTCGCTTCCGGCTTCAGGTGTGGCTTGGCACTTCTGACGATTACATTGGGGTCACTGATCAACCGACCAAGCTTCAAGGTGCCGATGATCAACCAGTAGGATGACCAAGCCAGGCTACCCCAAACAAATCATGTGACTGGCATCCCAAGGCCGCTGAGAAATATTCCTTTTTTAATGGTTGTAATGGGAATTGACATCTATAAATGGAGGATTTCTATGGATTTCCTATGTTTGATTACTGGAGGGTATGTGAACATCCCAGAGAAACATCATACAGTTGATGCTTTCAAGTATGTTGTACTTCCGTACTTATTTGTGCTGACGATTCCAATCATCATGTATGCCTAATAATTATTGATAGTTCTATATTGTGTATGTTTAATAGTATTACTTCATATTTCGCAGCTTGGGCTGTTTTTAGGTGTTTAAGACTTTAACACTACACCATTTTATTGGTTGGCTCCACTACGGACCAGAAAGAACATTTGGTGAGTCTACCCGCGGTAGTTTCATTAAATACTATACCCTCTGGTTATTTAACATAACCATGGAAAATGGCCCATTTATAGATGGTTTACCTATTAAAAATGGTGATTTTCCATGGCTATGTTAAATAACCAGATGGTATATAATTACATCTCTACAATACTTCCCTTTCTGTTGAGGGATAAAACCAAATACTGTGAATACTGTGCATCAACTGCATTACAAAGAACTATGCTTGTCATGCATAGAGATACATCCCCCTGAAGAGAATCTATGATTCAAAATTTACCAATCAATGTGGTAGACCCTATATTAAGCTATGTTATCATCCATTCACAGTTTCACCAGTAATGGGTACCCTCTGGTAAACTAACATAACTATGGAACATCACCATTTTTTATGGGAATATCAACTATAAATGGCCATGTGCAATAGCTACGTTAAATTACCAGAGGGTAGTTTTTGAACCCTGCAATCATCGCTTCGGTTTTCGCCTCGTGATCCCCGTGAGGCGACTTTGGTGAGCTGGGAACCTTTGAGGCCAAACGCAACGGCGATGTCTTGCACATCTACTCTGGTCGCTGGGTCGAACAGTGGGTCAACTCTGGTCCCTGGGGGGATCCTAAGAGTCCTAAGTCATACCCGACGTCATCCAGAATTGACCAACATTTGAATGTCTTTGATAAGGAAAGCAATCTTTTTGGGCTATCCATCTTTGAGAGAACACCCGGGCGTTTACCATGGATTCCAGAAACGATGCAGGGCCATGGGTTGTTGATTCGAATTGGCTTGTTGTTCAATGTGCTCTTTGGGGTGAACATTGTGCCGATAAAAGGCAGCCTGACTACACAGATATCCTTCCATTTGTGGCGAAAAGATCAAACGATGATGTGGGATGATCCCTTCAAAGTCCTTCAATCACTACCATTTAAACTTATTGTGTTTAATTATGTTCAACTTTCTCTAGTAAGATATGAGATATGTTAATAATTGTCAATATATGTGTGTGTGTGTATAATACATATATATATATATTCATGGGGTCTAGGGGGGGCTATGGGTGAGGGTCTATGAGCTTATCATAAAAGGTCCTGATAAGAGCTGGTTAGTATAAGCACTTATTAGGGTCTTATTAGACCTTCATTAGGGCTGGATATATGTGGGGCATAGTAACCTATATTTCACCATACTACTTGGTGGTTCATCCCACTTAGTAAGTGGGTTATAACATGTTATAACCCCAGTTATAAGTGGATTAACCCTACAAAAATCCCATGTAAATCACTGGGGTTATAACCCATTTACGAGCCGTGGGATGAGCCACCATACTACAGTCATGTAAGATTAATGCCGTATATCCCCACGATAGCAGCCATCGTGTCCTGAGGCCAGGAGTCGGTCTTGATGTTCTCCCCGAACCAAAACAGTCAGGCCATCATCCTCCGACACTACGGACGATGGCACGAGATCGAGGCCGGGCCTTGGGAAGATCACCTGGTGCGGCGAATGTCGGATTTTTCTTCATCGTTCTAGCTGTCTCATTGCTAGCTGGTCAACATTTTAATGACATTCGTATTTTTAACATGGCATTATATTTAGATTATATGATATTATTATATGATATATATTACAGTATATAAGTTATGTTGTCTTACAAAATATCATGTTGGTCCTTAGATTAGATTCTCCAGGACCAGCTCGCCAGGTGTCCACAAAGTCGGACCTGCACGAATCCAGCTCGGATGGGGCCTACGGCATTTACGCCTTTTGACCTGCACAAAGTTTGGGTTTCCAAAAAGATGGCCATGGGGCCATCATGAAAAATGGCATATCTTAATGGCTATAGTAAATGGCATATATCTATATATTATATATATATTACATCTATGGGGGTTTCCAAAAATGGGGGTACCTCTGAATCATCCATTTTAATGTTGGATATTCCCTTATAAAGCATCCAGCTATTGGGGTACCCCCATTTGTGGAAACCCACATATACATCCAGGGTTTGGGTTTTGTTTTTTTGATTTGATCGGGATCTGTGGCTGATTGGTTGATGCATGATATGAATCATTGGTTGGTTGATGATTGGATATGATATGATTAGTACCATTTTATGGGGATCGAGTGGGATAGCAATAGGAATACAGAACTACACATTGTGATATTTAGATCATGTTGTTCAACATTGGGCAAAGATGGCATGAGTTGATGGTTCTGAAAATCGGGCATTTCTGATTTGATGGTAGCACTTATGCAAAGAACTCATTTGAGACTCCGAATCACTGGTAGGTCATGGTTATATATATACAATATCGACTGTTCCTGTTGGTTTTGTTTTTCATCTGACACAATAACTGGTTCATTGGGTCAACATGTTTTATTTTTATTTTTAATAACATAAAAAGTGAATAGATCATCAGTAACTATATCAGTAGCAAGTTGAGAATAGCATCGCCACAAAGAGGAGAGGATGAAGCTCCTGATCACCAAGATATCCAAGATCCCAACGGAAATTCAGTCGCAAAGGTCGCCACAAAGAGGCGATATAACATGTATTTCCTGACACAATTTTATATTAATGTATAATTGTAATAACAATAATCATAAGAATGATATATATATATATAATATAATATATTATAATATATTATAATATATGGTTGGTGGTTTGGAACATTTTTTGATGTTCCATAGATTGGGCATGTCATCATCCCAACTGACTTTAATATTTTTCAGAGGGGTTGAAACCACCAACCAGATAATGTTCCCCATAATTTCCGAATTCTAATCTCCAGTTGTCCAATTTTTCTACCTATCGGCGGCTTGCCTGGCCGCCCAGGTGTCCCTGGGCCAGTTAAAGGCTGGTGAGACGAAATCCGCCATCTTCTACTACGGGGCGCGGGGGGAGGAACTGAGTTGGGGAGGTGAAAGGTAGGTAGTCCGGTGGTGATTTAATGGTGATTTTATAAGATTTTATGGCGATTTTATGGTGATTTTATAGGATTTTATGGTGATTCACAGGGATTTAACCAACAAGAATGGGGATATTAATGGGAAATACCCTCTGGTAAACTAGCAGTTTGCTATAGAAAATGACCATATAAATAGTTGATTTACCCAGCTATAAAATATGGTGATTTTCCGTAGTTTTTTGTATGTTTACCAGAGAGTAGGTGATCCACAAATGGTGCTACCTATATACAGACTTCGATGTGCAATGTTATATACACACATTTGTATTGCACATAGAATCTATATGCTATATACATTCCATATATTGATTCCATCAAGAATTCCTAGATCTAGGTGTAGTACATACATGTACATACGATTTATCAAACATCTATGGATCTATGAATGATGCAACCTATAGATAACCAGATAGCCTTCTTAGTGATGCTGACCTATCGCAGGCCTCCACGGCAGATCAGCTGAAGCCCTTGTCGAGAGCTGCCAGCGCTTTAAAAGGTCGGCGTAGTAGGGGATGACGTCAGATATGACTGGGACTATAGAACTTTGGGTGTTTAATATCCCATAGGATCCATGTATGCTATATATGGTAACATTTACCATCAATATACCCCAAATGTTAGCATATATTAGCATATATACCATACATGGATCCTGTGGGTATGAATGGGGGATCTTTTCTATGGGTCAAGTCCTATGATCTCTTCAGACTTTTTGGGCTTGGCGTCATGTTGGCGTCATGTTAGCATGTTTATTTCCGGGTTTTTCTTGTGGAGATATTTGTAGTCTTTGATGGGTTTACAAAAAAACTTGTTCCTGGGGGGCAGCACGTTGTGTGATCTGAAGACCTTTTGGGTTGGGACCGACTATACATGATGTATCCTGGACATTACAAACAGAATCCGGCCACATTTAAGCGATGATTTGGGCTTGTAAAAGACACGAACATATTTTCACCAAGGATGTGGTTATGGGTCAAAACCTATGATGCATATTGATGCGCAACATCTCTGGGGTATGAACATCCACATGTACCAATCGTTTTGGGGACATCAAGGATACCAGAGTGGAATGACCCCCATATTACTCTGACCTGTTGGGAACATGGTGCCGGATAGCAACGTGGGGTACCCGGCCTGGTAAACGTTTACAGTTTGCGAACTGGAAAATCACCACCATTTTATAGCTGGGTAAATCCACTATTTCGACTGGGCCATTACTGGGTTGGATTTCATTGGATTCCCTTCCCATAAAGGGGCCGCAGTGTTGTAGGGGCACGAGATAGACTCTGGTAAACATACAAAAAACTATGGAAAATCACCATTTTTTTATGGGAAAATCCACCATTTCTATGGAAAGATCCACCATTTTTTATGGGAAAATCCACTATTTCTATGGCCATTTTCAATAGCTATTTTGACATAACCAGAGGGTAGACTCCCCCCAGCGGCGTTGCGCCGGCAGTTCACCAAAAGAGTTTCCACTCCAATGAATTGCTGGCAACTTGGCGCCAGAGGTTTCCACCCAACGAGTAACCAGCCCCCATTACGTGCCAACGGGTGTGTCTGGAAAATGGGGTAGAACCAAAAAAGATGAACGAATGGGAACATGGGAAGACAACATCAAGATTAGATAGGGCTTTAATGGGGATTTAAAAGATTAGATAGGGATATTTGGCTGGCTGAAAAAAATGTATATATATATACACATACATCATGGATAGTTGATGATTGTTGCATATGGTTACCACTTAGCCATTTTGCGGTGATATACTGAAGACACACTGGAATATAGAACCAAATACAGTAATGTGTCTCAAAAATGGGTGTTTTCTGACTCCAAGATGGCAAAAAAAATCGTTGCTGAGCATGATGATACACCAGTGGATTCAGCATTACAATTTTCAGACAAACCCAACTTGAGGACCAGAAAAACTGGATTGAACAGAACTGTCAATGCAATGTATGAAACCAGAGCGAATTGGGCTTTTGGATTGACTTGCAGTACTGTACCCAATGTGGACCTTTTTGTCGACAATAGAGAACATACCCATAGTACTTGGATGGTTACTTGACCAAATTGGACGCGTGTCAAATCGCTAGATGCGTCCTTGAGTATTGGATCTTTTGATATTAGGGCTTTATTTGGATTCATTCAAGGGTGTTTCTTACCTATAGATACCTAATTATAGTTTTTTTTTGCAGATTTTCATGTCATCTTAAGTAAATCCTTTTGGAATATAATCCATGGAATATTTAGAAACCTATATTAAATTTAGAAACCTATATTAAATCCTTTTGGAATATCTGTTTCCACCATGAAACACTCCTAACATGACCTTTCGTTTTTCCAAGGTGTGGGATGTGGATCGCTGCAACATGCAAAAAGCCAACAGCTCAGTGGAGTCTTGGGCTTAAGCGACACGTACCTCTTGGGTATAGTTTCTGGGGGGTGATATTGGCATTATTTTTGATGATGAATATGGGGATGGGTCAAAATTTGGACAGTTCTTTTATGTGATTTTTAGTAATTAATTAACAAGACAAAGAATCCTACATTTCAAAAAAGTCCTGAGTTGCTAAAGGTACTGTCGGTGGTGAACTCCCAGATTGTGTCAAAATGTTCCATGCAATGAATGATGACATGATGATCCCTGACCAACCAGCAGCCAGCCAGACATCCTGAGCCTGCAGCGAACTCTCCACGGAGCCCATCTTTCAACATATTTCAACAGCTGCATGCGAACAGAACTCATGACTACTTGGTGGCTCATCCCACGGCTCGTAAGTGGGTTATAACCCCAGTTATAAGTGGATTAACCCTACTTATCCCATTTATAACTGGGGTTATAACCCACTTACTAAGTGGGATGAGCCACCAAGTACAGTGCATGGTCTGAAAGCTTTAAGTCTGGGGGGAATTGACATGGCTAGGCTCTTCCGGAAGGCGAGCTCTTGAATTCATGGGGGAATGATGATGGCGATGAGGAGGATGGCAATTGTTGTTGTAAGTGATTACTATCAATCATACAGTGGATGTTTTTCGAAATCCTGCAGTTGATAGGTGGTAAACATCATTAAACATCCCATTAATTATAGGGTTTCAACCATCCAAGGTGGTGCAGGATTTCTTCCATCCACAGTAGTTACAATGGTTGTTGTCATCATATGCTTGTTTGATGAACAGATCGGTCTGACTGAAGTTTTTGAATTCCCCGAAATCATCCAGTTTCGGTTGCTCAAATTCAGCCAAAGTCAATGCCCATAGAAAACCATGGAATTCAGCCATTGCCAGAGGATTTTCAGATCGCATTCTGATGTGATTGCATGATGAATTATCAGATGATGACAATTTTTGATGGCTTAAGATTAAGTTTAACCAAATATGGTGTTTTAGTGAGGGTTTCAACCATCAAATTTTCCCATGACAATTAACGGGAAATTCCAGTGGATTTGCTTGGCGACATTCCAAGAAAATAAGGTTCCTGTAAATTGTCATGACCATTTTCTACCAAGTCAAAATGTTTTTTCATCAAAATCCAACAACAATTGCTTGGTAGAACATGGTAAAACCATGTAAAACCCCTATGTTTGGCTTGAAAAAACAAGCCCATACTTCTCCGGGACACCCTTATTGCGTTGCCAGTCCAAAGGATTGCGACTTGGCGCATAGCTGTTATGGGACGCTCTGGAACTCGCGCAGTGCCTGCAGGGTCACTTGGTTCGGAGGCTCAAGTGTTGGTCAAAAGCTATGGCAAACGCTAGCATTATAGGGAGGATGTACATCCATGATTATAAACCCTTGTAGCCATTTTGCAATGGCTTCACCAGGGTGTCAAGAGACCCACAGCCTTTATACAACTGGGGATGTTACGAAATCAGGTGATGCTAGTCTCAAGTGGAAACGGTTCAACTGGAGTTTTCATGGCCATTTCAGGCAACAAGAAATTGAAGCTTCAACAGTCTAGGTCAATCAACCCGAAATTGCAATGTCACCAATCAAGTGTGGAGTATTCAGCTGCAAACATGGGTTTTTTCATTGGGTTGGTGGTTTTAAAAACTTGATATACTGGTTGGTGGTTTGGAACATTTGGATTATTGTTCCCATCATATTGGGAATGGAATGTCATCATCCCAACTGACTTTAACTAACTCTATCATTTTTCAGAGGGGTTGGTTGAAACCACCAACCAGTATGGTTCAAATTAACCATCATTAACCATATATTAACCATATATTAACCATATATTAACCATATATTAACCATGGCATAATCATAGGGGTTGTTTTACCACAAATCCATTGCTGCTGGTATTGAACCTGGTATTCTCCAGGGGGTGAAGCCGTGAAGCCACCACGGATCAGACATCTTGGTAGGGAATTTGCCCAGGAAAGAAACAAGGATGGACAATCCACCATTTGTAGTAATCATTTCTGACAGGGTGTCCTGTTTTTTGAAAATCAGAGTGAATTCCAGAGCTTTGTATGTTTATATGTTTACGTATTACTGGAGGCTACATCATATTATTAGATATTATCAGTAAATTTCGATGATTTTTTTCATCGAAAAACCAGAAAAAAATCTGGAGCAAAAATGGCACCCTGGCCATCGGATGGATCGGATGATTCTTTGAGTTTTGTCTCCAACTTGGTTAATTACTGGTTGGTGATTTGGAACATTTGGATTTTTTTTCCCATCATATTGGGAATGGAATGTCATCATCCCAACTGACTTTAACTAAGTCATTTTTCAGAGGGGTTGGTTGTTTTACCACCAACCAGATGACTATTGTTTGCAAGTTTGCATCCAATGATACAAAGGTGCTGATAATATTGTTTGCAAGTTTTGACTCCCAATGTTTTCAGAGGTCAGGAGATCATATCATATGGCGCTGATCCAATGACTCGGGAGCATCCAGGACTCACCATAAACGTGGCTGCGAAGCCCTAATGGTTGATGATTGTAGGGGATTACCCGGCCTGGTAAACGTTTACATAACTATGGAAAGATCCACCATTTTATAGCTGGGTAGTCATCAACTATTTCGACTGGGTTATGTTCAATAGCTATGTTAAATTACCAGAGGGTATACTATCCAATATCTATATCCAATATCTTGGGGATGATCACAATCAGAGGCTTTTTATTTCACTGCTCATTGGTGGTGTTTATGTTGGGAATCCCGTTGGGGTATCCATCACCACCATGAAGGACCTTTGAAGCCTCAGGTGATCAATATGTTGTATTTTGTTTCAAACATATATTATGGTCAATCAATTACAGTGGGAATCCGCCATAGGTCTATAAATGTCTATAATTGTCCGTATACATACAGTTTATAAATTTACACATACACAGATAGACATGTGATATTATGTTCTAATACTGTATATCATGTTTTGGGCTATGAATTATATATATAACTACTAGACCCTTAAGCAGCAGGTGATGCTGGTGAATACCATGACGATTGCTGAGCTCAAGAACTACATCTGTGGCAACTCCACCTGTGCTTACGAAGCCAGGCGAGCTGACGATGATTGGGACAATGGTGATCACCAAACCTCGAATGGGAAAAGAATGGAACAATCATGAAACACAATGGGTGTATATATATATAATTACATAATATGTTTATATATATAATATAATACTGTATATGTACATATACAATATATATATATACAATATATATATATATACAATATATGTATAATATAATTATATAATATATGTATAATATATACATATAATATGTGTAATATATATATATAATATAGTATAATATACTATAATATAATATAATATACTATAATATAATATACTATAATATGATATAATATCATAATATATATATAATATACATAAATAGCTGCTGCAACTTGCTAGTTTGATGTGTCTGAAAGCTGCTTTTCAGCCACGTTTGAGCAATCCAACTCTTCATGTGGCACCGCCGAGCAGGACCACAGCACAGCTATGGATTCACCATAGAGCTGGATTCACCATCTGATTTTATAGGAAATGTGATTTTATTGGAATTTTATGGAATTTTTATGGTGATTCACAAGGATTTAACCAACAAGAATGGGGATATTACTGGGAAATACCCTCTGGTAAACTAACAGTTTGCTATAGAAAATGGCCACAGAAATTTAGTGGATTTACCTATTAAACATGATGATTTTCATTGATTTTCCAGTTCGTTATGTACACGTTTACCAGGCCGGGTATTGGCTGGGACGCTGTTGAAGTTGATCCATGCCGCAGGGACGCACGGAAGGAGTGCGAGGCGATGTATCCCAACGACATGGGCCTTTTGGTAGCAAGTTCTTTGCTGGTTTTGTCAACTTTTGTACTTTTTGAACAATTTTCAAGGATTAGCTTCCATTTTTTATTGTCAACATGGATCAACATGGTAAGTTTTGGGAGCAAGTGAAGCGTTCGTTTGGGTGAAGTGATCTCCAAAACTCGTGGAGCATCTGAGGTTGGCTCGATCCGATCCATCACTACCGACATCGAAGCTTGGCCATTGATGGTGCTGAAAAATGGGACTGGTATAACATATACATACATATACTATATAAATTCTATATATATATATACACGTACATATACTCAATATATTTAAATATTCTGATATATATATATATATTAAAATCGTCTATATACATATTCATTCGTACATGACAGATGTATAGCTATAGGTGACCATTGCAAGTTGCTGTCAAACCATACGATGTTTGTCTCACAGGATATGGCTGTGCAATTCATCAGGTGGATAAGTCGTTCATAGACCCCAGTTTCACCCTGACATAGAGGCAGCTTCCTGAAAAAATCACCTAGTTTGCAGGCGTTGGACATCAGTTGAACTAGTGATAACTAGTGGTCAAATAGAAAGAAGCCGCCCAATTTAGCTGATGTCTATAGAGGAAATATATGGACATGTTTGCCAAAAAAGATTGGATACAACCTTACACTATAGGTGGTTTTAAAAGTGTATGCTTAGTGGACCCTATAGACTGCAACTTAGTAACTCAGCCATAAACTTCAGGTGCACACACGCTTCAGGTGGACACCCACATTGTTTGTAGGTATGTTCACCATACTCTGCAGAATCCATGGACATTTTCCATTGAAGCCTAACACTGTAGAACCAATCTCATCCCTTAAACAAAAAAAGAACCTAAGTGGTTCAAAATGGGCGTAAATCGACAAAACCATTAGTTTCTTATGGGTGCGTTTCACATGAACGCGGGGATGAGATTAGCTCTGAGGATATTGCGGTATAGATGGACATGCCACTGACCTCATCAACGATCATGACACCTGCGCCAGTTTGCACTCGGCCCGGGGTCCCAGTGTGGCTAGATGACAGGATGGGTTGGATTATGTTGGACATCCTCCAACCGACTCCAACCAAACAAGATGGTACCCTCTGGTACGCTTTCCGAAAGTGCAGGGTGAGATCAGCGGAGTTTTTTCTTTCACAGAACCATTGTTCAGAAAATTGTTGGAATCAATGTCAGCAATCCAAGCGCTTTCCAAAAAGAGGGAAAGCTTGAACACAACTTCCCTTGTCTTCCCTAGCTATCAAATCTGGGAATCCATTGGGCGATGAAATCCCTAGATCGAAAGGAATCGTAGAAGCCATGGATTGCTAAGGAATCAATAAACCCATAGCCTTTCTTGCTAAGGTGCTATTGTAGATTGGCATAAAGCATCATATTCTGGTGGTTTGGAACATTTGGATTATTTTTCCATAGATTGGAAATCATATGATCAACTGTTACTCACTCCATCATTTTTCAGAGGGGCAGGTCAACCACCAACCAGATTATTATTATATAACCATCATTAACCATATAATAACGATATATTATCAACAATAAACCACAGGTTTTTACATATAACCATATGGTATTATCATATGTTTTTACATATAACCATAATTGATGGTAAATATTATCATATGTCTATATACCGACCCCAACATGTTTTTTGGGTTCACCACATCGATCCTCTTCACGATCCTCCCAAGCATAGTTTCCTCTGCCCAGCCCGTCGAAACGCACTTCTGCAAAACCGTCCGGGACTGAGAAAAATGACGGGTGGGAGATGGGATGTTGTGGACATGACGAACAACATTTATTGATTTGTTTGAAAATGGGATATACCCCCAATCTATGGCAGTTGCATGAGGAAAATTAGCGGATTGCGGAGTAGGTAGCAGATTTTGATGCTTAATGGCATCATTTTGCAATGTAGATTCTCCATAAACATGGGCCAGCATGATCTCGGAATCACCTCACGAGTTAAAATGGATGTGCCTTCGGCTCGATTTACCTCCAGTTTAGCAGGATCTGACCTCTTCTAGGCTATAGTTTCTATACCTCAGGAGTTTTTTCTTTCGGAAAACAAGAACATCACGGATTTCAGGGATGCCATGCTTGTCCCAGGTGCGCAAGTGCTACAAGGGCTTCGAACAGGTAGAAGCTCGGCGAGTAAACTTGCGAGGTCGAGATGAGCTAAAGAGTGCTTGAAATTCATTGGTTACCCGTTGGTAAACTAACATTTTGCTTTGGAAAATCACCATTTTGAATGGGTAAATTATACTATAAAATATGTAAGTGGGTAAGGCTAAGGATTCATTAACAAAGTCTGATTAAGTGGGTAAGGATGGATGAGGGGGGAACATAGCGCATAGCTCTGCGAGCTTGGCATTCTACTGGATCACCCAGTGAGTATCCGAGGTCAGCCATGCTTAGCCGAGGGCACAAACTTGGGTGGATGTTGCAACGAGATGGTGCGGGGGTACCCCTCACTTTTGTTTGCTGTTTTAAAAGAATTTAAAATCCCCTAGAATGCTACAGATGTATATCTACTATATATCTACTATAAACCTTTTGTCTCCAACCTGGGCGTTCGCCCGTTTCACTTATCATGAGGGATCAAATCTCAGTCTCCCGCCCCGTCTGAACAATATATTGAACGGGATATTAACTTCAATTTAGAACCCTGCACCCCCTCTGAACAATATAATCTTGAATGGAATATGCATATATACATATACATACATGTTTACCTACATAGATATGTGGAAATACGCAACTCTCCCACAACTTTAGGGCGGGCAAAGGTCAGGGTTGCAGCAAGCATGTTTGACTATAGTCAACTATAGTAAATATATGACACATAGGCCCATAGTTAACTCTACAGAAGTATAGATATACATACCCACTACAACCCATACTTAACTTATACTTAGTTCAGCCAACTTAGCTAGAAACACCACCTCATAGAAGCCTGCGCGTTTTCGATCTTTGGATGGTGACAGAACTTTCCCATGAATCGTGGTTCCTTGAGAACTCAAAGACTGAGCTTATGTCTATCAGAGTGTTCTACCAGAAATATCCGGAAATCAGAACCTGAATACATATTTGAATACATATTATCAAATATTACTGGGCTATCTATTGAATAATAGATATACCTTTCCTGACTCCTCCAGAATTGTTTGTCTCAAGGAAAGGCATTGGTGTCCTGGAGAAACAGGGCCAACAGACTACCCAAGTGACGTTAGTCATGTCATGTCCTCCAAAGCTGGGCGATTTCTTGTGTGTTGCTTCCTGCCGCCCACGGCCACGCATGCTACGCATGGCCACGCCTAGGGAACGAGCTGCAAAGTGGATCTACCCACGATGGCACAGATGCAAACTGAGGTGGATGCTGGTGGGCTTTCTCTGGGGGATCCACCCTGGAATGGTTTTAACCTAGGCAAATCATCCCCAAATCGCCATAGCCGGCCCAAGAATTCAGGGCCATCCAATGGGATGGTGAATTCAGATTCTGTTAGAACTCACTTTGAGATATTAGTTGTTCTCGAATGTTATCCAGATTTTTTTGAGATATATGTTGGTTTTTAACTGATATGTGTTCTTTCCTATCTTTCCTGGATAACCGTATCATGATTATATACATATATCTATATAATTATATATATATAATTATATAATTATATATAATATAGTTATATATAATTAAATATATATATATGTCTATCCAATCCATGGTACCCCAACTCCATGCCCCCACGGCCACGGCGCCCGGCTTCCGTGCTCCGCGCGCCTCAGTTGTGCAGCGTGACCTGCCGTGAAGCGATCGACCAGGTCCCCGTTGGGAACGGTGGCGACCCGAAACGCTCATCGTAGCTATGGGATGTAACCGACTTGGAAACGGTGAATGGGGATTTCATGGAATAATGGAATACATGGAATATAATGGAATATAACGGAATATAATGGAATATGATGGAATACAATGGAATATAACGGAATATAATGGAATATAACGGAATATAATGGAAATTCATGGAATTTAATATAATGGAATATAACGGAATATAATGGAATATAATGGAATATATGGGAAATATATGGAAATATGGGAACATGGAATTAAAATGAGGAAATATGGGAATACAATGGATGTTTTTTGATGTTTTTTGTATATCCTAAGCAACTGGTCATCAAACATTGGCACTGGAAAATCCCCAAACGAGCCATGGAGGTTTCGTTGAAGGTAGCTATGGAAAATGGATGAAAATGGCCTATTTACTTCGATGAGTTGCCGAATCTATGCTGATGAAAAATTCTGATTTTAACATCTTTTAATGATTTTAGTAGGACATATTCATGGAACATTCATGGATTATATGTATAAACCTTCATGTTTCAAAACATGGGATAACCATCCCATTTCTGGGATGTTGGGTGTATCGCAGCTGTGGATAGCTGTGATCCATGCATCACATGCCGTACTTGCATGATGTTGTGCATCCGTGAGAGGCAGGATAACGTTATCCCCACGGCTCAAAACTTCATGCCAAACTCAAAGCTGCTTTGCAGGTTTGTTTTGCATATTTTCTTCTCGGCGAGATGGCAGTATGCTGACCACAGTATGAGGTATTTGTCAGGTGGATTTTGGCAAAGATATTCCATCTTGTGCTTATACAGGTAGATCTTTTCCTGCTAGTCGTCCAACATAAGTCCAATCAATTCTGTGGCGCTCTGACTGGTTTCATCCACGAGCAGATGATTCTTGCTGGAGTTTTGCGTTTTTTTTTGAGGTTAAGGCCCAGGCATCACTGGAGTATGCGCTTGTCACGGGCGTCCAGTTGGACGAGAACAAGTTGGGGTCGAACCGACAGAGTTTCTGAAACGTAAAAATCGCCCTAATTTGATAATTAATCATAGAATCTATTGTTCTAATAATACTGTATATATTCAGAATTATTCAGGAAATGTCACTGGAATCCAAGGCCCTCCGGTTTAACCGTGAGTTGCACCAGGTGCTCAGAGGCTGCGGTCACTACCGGGTGGTCCGTGATGCAGCCGATAGTGTCACGGCATACCAGAGACTTGGCGCCGAGAGACGGAGAAACGTGGTGTAAAATCTGTGGTGCCAAATCTGTGGTGAATCTATCATGAAGCTATATGAAGCTATATAATATAGTGGAGTTGATGTTTACCAGCCATTTATATCATGGTGATGACTTGGGGTTTATGATTGATTTGACCACTAAACTTACTAAACACATTTAGAAACCATGGCTTCCTGGTCAAACATTCCCTCAAGCCTTTACCCAACAATGAATGGCGCTCTTCAGCTCTTCGTGGGGCCCTTGAGGGGACTTGAAATTATGTGATGACGAGACAGCTTTGAAAACATGGGATAGGTCATGATCGTCTACCAGGGATGATACGCCAAATTCTTGAGGCGTAGCCAGTCACACTTGGATGATATTCATCACTGGATGTGTAGGTGGCAGCCACACTGACCCACCTCACAGATATTTTTTGCCAGGACAAAGAGGCTCATTGCAGGCGTTGGACAAACTGCACTAAGCACGATGGTGAGACATTAGGATCTGCCAAGTATCATGCAGTACCAGTTGTCATTTGTGCGGTTTATTGGAGATCGAGCGACTGTTCGAACGCTTTTTTTTAGCCCATAGGATCCATATGTATGGTATATATATATAGAAATATATATGCTAACATTGGGGGTATATTGATGGTAAATGTTAGCATATATATACCATACATGGATCCTATGGGTAGTTCAGCTACGATGACATCTCCATAATCCCATCGTAAAGACGCCCAGCCGCTATGCTGCGGGATGCTTCGGGTGTCAGCCCCTTTGACCATGGCATGATGACCACGGTAGCAATGGGCCAAGTTTTTAGGCAATGTTCTCGGTAAAAACGCAATGTGTGTTCATTTTCCAAAAGACTAGGTGATCTAAGGTGTTCATAGAACACATCAGGGCTCAAACAATGTAAGACCAGCTATGGTTTACCGTAATCCCGCAAAAAGGATAGAAATATTTCGCCGCATCACTATTCAAGTAGGAGTTCACGTTTCTATATCTTTTCTTGGGTGACTTCAATGGTTTCTTGATGTTTCTTGTTGCACTAACAACAGTTGCTGCCAGAAGCCCCATGGCCGAGGAGATACTTTGGCTGCGATCAAGGCGCGGCTTCGCTTGGAAAACACGGAGAGACCAAAAGCTTTGGGCTCGACAATTGGGACAGTTGGAGAATGATGATCATGTGCCCAGATGATCTTTGTTTAACTAACATGATATGATATTATATAGATATTTAAGGGATTTACATGCATATATGATATATATATGTATATAATATCACATGACATCCCCCTAATAGCATCGTCCCAAATAGGTGTTCCAATCCCCTACTTTTACCGGGAAGGGATTAAACCAATCGACACCTCTTTGCAATAGCATGACTTAGTGCATATAATACCATAGATAATGGGTCCATGTATGATATATATATATTATATATGATTAATTGTATCTAATTATATAATTAAAGATAATTTAGAATATATTATATGTTTTATAATATATGTATATATGCACCAGGCCCTGCCACCCCCCCCCCCCCCCCCCCCCATGGGATGGGTCCCATATACTGGCCCCATATGAGATCTTCCCCCTCCCCCCCCTGTGGTGTGGTGGGGGTGTGGCACTGTCCCCCCCCTCCCCCCCCCTGTGGTGTGGTGGGGGTGTGGTATGGTATGTTGGGTATGTATGGTGTGTATGGTCGGTCTGGTATGGCATGTTTGGAAAGTATGGTATGTTTGGTATGTGTGGTAGGTATGGTATGTATGGCATGAGTGGTTGGTATTGTATGGATGGTAGGTATGGTATGTAAGTCTGTTGGGTATGGTATGTTTGACATGACAGTATGTATGGTCTGTATGGTATGTATGGTTACTATGATGGGTATGGAAAATTTCCTATGTAAGGTAGGTGTGGTATGTATGGCATGTATGTTTTCTATTGTATGTATGGTAGGTGTGGTAATTACATTTCATATGTATTGTATGTATGGTATGTATGATAGATATGATAGGTATGGTATGCATGGCATCATTGACATGTATGGTAGGTACGGTATATGTTAAACACAGGTAGTGTTGTCAGAGTACACAGGTAGTAAATAGGAAGTAGATACAGTAGATACATAGCACATGTATATATTGACTATAGGTAGCACGTAGGTACGTTGAAGGAGTATGTGTGCTACGTAGGCCGCCTAAAAGGTAGCATGTACCTAGTAAATACGAGGCTGGTAGTCAGAAATGCTGCAAAGACCTAGCAAATATGAAGCTGGACCTCAGCCAATAGCTTGCAAATAGAAGGGAAGGGGGGTGTGGTGGGGGTGTGGCACTGTCCCCCTCCCCCCCCTGTGGTGTGGTGGGGGTGTGGTATGGTATGTTGGGTATGTATGGTGTGTATGGTCGGTCTGGTATGGCATGTTTGGAAAGTATGGTATGTTTGGTTTGCATGGTAGGTATGGTATGTATGGCACGAGTGGTTGGTATTGTATGGATGGTAGGTATGGTATGTAAATCTGTTGGGTATGGTATATTTGATATGACAGTATGTACGGTCTGTATGGTATGTATGGTTACTATGACGGGTATGGCATATTTCCTATGTAAGGTAGGTGTGGTATGTATGGCATGTATGTTTGCTATTGTATGTATGTTAGGTGTGGTAATTACATTTCATATGTATTGTATGTATGGTATGTATGATAGATATGATAGGTATGGTATGCATGGCATCATTGACGTGTGTGGTAGGTACGGTATATGTTAAACACAGGTATATAGTGTTGTCAGAGTACACAAGTAGTAAATAGGAAGTAGATACAGTAGATACATAGCACATGTATATATGACTATAGGTAGCACGTAGGTACTTTGAAGGAGTATGTGTGCTACGTAGGCCGCCTAAAAGGTAGCATGTACCTAGTAAATGCGAGGCTGGTAGTCAGAAATGCTGCAAAGACCTAGCAAATACGAAGCTGGACCTCAGAAATGCTGCCAATAGCTTGCAAATAGAAGGGCATTGGGGCTGCTACCTGTGGACCCAACCCATGGGGGGTGGGAGGGGGGGGTGGAGAGACGGAGGACGGGACCATATATATATATTTATATATATATATACACATGTATGCGTATATTTAGAAAAAGAGTCTGACTTAAAGTGACGCCTTGGATAATTTGCCCAAAAGTCGCCGCAATTTTGCTAGGTGCCTCCTTGCCTGCCCCGGTGCTGGTGGAGAGCCCGCTGGAATTGCAGGCAACTTGGATGATACCTGGGGAAACAGATAGAAAAGTGGCAAAGCTGTTCTAATTCCTAGCAAAATAGTGCCAGTTTAGTTGTAACTAATTATCTTTTCTTGGGTTGATATACCCATATTTTTGGGGCTGTTGGGTTATTTTTGTTTTTTTTTTCATCCAGCGATTCGAATATTTTACCAATGTTTACTCCTTGGATTTTATTATAAAGGCATCCAATTCTTTGGTGTTTGATAGGTTCAATAATTTTGACCCACACCCAAATTAGGCTTCCATTACCAGCTGCGTTTCCATCTCGTTTCCATCCATAGATACCCATAAATTCTTCTGTTCCAGCCACAAAGCCAATTTTTGTTAACCCCACTTGTTTGGGGCTTTGTCTTCAACAAAAACATCCAGTGTGGTTGAAACCCATGAGATGGTAAAATCATGGGGATTCAGAAGATTTCAGAAGCTATGGCCATCTGTTTGTTGGGGCCTCGGTTTCGGGCCACAGTTTCCCCAGCATTCAGCGAGGTGGAGGCTTCGACAGGAGCCACGGTTTTGGCTGAGCTGGAGACCGGCCCCCCTTGTAACAAACATGTTTTTTTATGTTTTTTTTTAGGAGAAACTTAAGGAAGTACTGTAACACTTCCATCAACTGGCACCAATATGGGGATTAAACTCGATTGGACCCACCATTTGATTGTTTTTGGGAGACTAATAACGGAGGAATATAGCCAACAATAGGGGGGATTGTCCAAAGGGGGAGATACCCTAAACTTCGAAAAACAAAAAAGAACTTTGAATGAAAACAATGATGAACCATGATATCTTGGCGGATTTTCAGACAAACCCAAATGTTGAACCTAGAAAAGTTACGGTTGAAAGAGGGGATAGAACCCAGGCCTTTCGGGGGAATCATGTATGAAGCAAGGGAATATCACCAATACCAATGGGATTCTTGTCAGCAAAATCGGTGCAGGGGTACCCACAAATGGCAATTTGTGGTCGGAAAGCCTCCAATTTGGAGGAGTGAATTCATGATTTTGAGTCGCAGCCAATATCTGGATCCATGTTTGGATATCTTCAAAGGGGAAAGAACCATTCGTCACCAGCTGCTGCCATGAGGTTTTATTGTTCTTCCTGGTGGTCAATCTCCTCCTGTTCTTTGTTGGTTAAAACCCCATGGCTTTCTTTATGTATATGTTGGTCAGAAACTTCTCACGAAAGCCGCTTTTCAACCAACATTTGGCCTTCTCCAAGTTTGATATAGAGTGCATCACCTCCATGTTCCATGAATTTCCATGATATGTTTGTTGCTAGAAAGAACAAACATGCAATCCCACCATTCAAACCACTCATCACATTTTTCCACCATGTTTGTATATGGAAATGGTCTTATTAAATATGATCAGCTATTTTCATAAGATCCCTAAACCACCTGCTAGGTACATAGAATCTTTAAACAAATGCTATTCTATGTGTTTTTTCTTGAATGAAAAACACAACGAAAACTAATTGTCGCTCCAACCACCCGCAGCAGGACATGTGTATAATATAAGTTGGTTAGGTTTAGTCTTATCATTATGGTCATGTATAAAGGATTTTTGATGGGTTTATAACAAATAATGATATTTATACATATATAATTATACTATATAAACGCATCTAAACAAATCGAATCTAAACGGCCGAAATTGTTTCAGCAGGGAAAAGGGTAGCATCAATCCCCAAATCATGTTCATTATCTAGATGTTGCGAAATCCTGCACCAGTCAATAGATGGGCAAATTCAAATATCACAACCCCCCAAAAAAAACGTGTTTCCTTGTTACCTCCATAGTTACCAAGAGTTACCAACAGCCCTGTTACCAGTTGTGTTTACGGTGATTTTCATTGGGGTGATCATTCCATTTTTATGGGGTTATAACTTGCAACTGATTTATAACTGGTATTTTGTGCCGTTTCTGGCACAGCAAAGTGACTTATAACTGGTATTTCTCAAGGAGATTTCTGGCACAGCAAAGCGGCCACCTACCTGACCTCCGTCTACGAGCACTGCACCTCTTCCGCCACGCCCGCCAGCGAGGCAACGGGCGAGGTGCCTGGGGACATGGGAGGAATGGCAATTTTCAATGGGGAAAATGATGAGAATCCATGGAATTAGTTAATTGGTTCCCCTGTTCCCCTAAATTTTCAGACTAACCCACATGACAGGAAATTCCAGGGCTTGAACCAGATGTTTTTTCTCGCACTAATGTGGTAAACCGCCGCCATCCCCAAACGGTTATGGCAGCATCCAGTTTTGGGCGCATCTGAGTTGACCATTGTCATCTGCAAGAATGGCAGTTGAGATGATATGGTGAATTAAGTACATCATATGGAGAACATTTATCCACATCACATCAGCATTTTTTTTTGCAGATGATGCCCTGAGTTTTTTGTCTGGCCCACTTCAGCTGAAGGCCTGTCAGAAGGCAGTGAAGTGTTTCGATAAACTCCAAGAGGCTCAAGAATCTTGCGGGGTGCGTCTCGGCGCCAGCTGGAATTTGTTGATGTGTAACTCAACTCCCAAAGCTTGCTTTGTACAGATCTTTATACAGATCATATTTTGGGGCAAATGCTACTGAATACTTACTGCAAGATTACTGTGGGTGATAACATGTGATAACCTGAGAGTTTGGGGAAGGTACTGCTTTCCTTTCTTTCTATGTGGCATGACCGACCTGCGTCGCCTGCGTTCTGAGGATTTGGTTGCCTACCATGACTGTGACCGAAGTCAGCAAGTATGCAGCTTGGATAACACCGTTATGAACCAGAGGCTTGGTTTAGGAGAACAACTGTAGAGAACTATGGCTAAACGTCTCCGAAATCATTCCTGAGATATGCGTTGACTGTTCGTGGACATCAAAATGTCACCCCCCAACACAAGCCAAGTGATGAATCTGCCATGGTTAATTGCCAGAAGTGGGGAAGTAGTTGATATCCCCCTCATGAAGTTCTGGATGACCAGGCCCAAGCCTCTGCTTTTCTGTAGCTCAACAGCCACTTTATTTTTCATGGTTGTTGGTGTCCTTGTTGCACCGTCTCTCCAAATTTCCAGAATGTTCGTGTTTGTATGTGTTTGTGGGATGATGTGACACCTCCAATGAAGTTTCATATTGACGAAAACATCAAGGGAATGGTCAAGTTTCGACAAAATCCAAGAGTTTGTAGACTTCCATCATCTCAAGTTTCAGAGTCTATATTTGGATGTTTGACCCATTTGGTAAGCGGTTGGAAATCGATGCGCCATCCAATTTACTAATAATATCTGACAATCATTTGTCAATGGCTTCAAATCTCTATTGCTCTTGTATCCCTTTGTAGCTGACACAGCTCAACACCCGAAAACTTCGAACTCCCAAAGTAATTCAGCTTGACAATGGAAAACCCCACATTTGTAGAATTCCCTGAGGATAGCAGAAAACCCTAAGCATCGCCCAGGTCTGTAGCGGCTCAATCTGTCATGGTCATGCACTACACCTGCAGGCCGCGATGGTGGGTCGGGGAGCGGAAAATGGTCAGGGGATACATATCCTCTGGTAATTTAACATAGCTATTGAAAATGGCCCATTTATATATATATATATAGTCTAGTTGATTTCCCTATCAAGGATGGTGATTTTCCATCGCTTTTTGTTAGTTTACCAGAGGGTAATACCCTCAGCAAGGTTAGAGAGGTTGGGTAATGTTGGGTATTGTTCAGAACTCATGGGGCCTTTGTTTTGGCAAAAAAGACATGAAACTTTCGACCGCAGCAGGATTATCTCAGTTGGATTGGATTATCCCCGGATTTCTTCCATGAAAGATGGATTATATGGATATAAACCACCTATGATATCAAGGGAACAACACCACAATGGATATATCGGAGACGGTTGAGTCTGACTCACATGAAGAATGATGGCTGTCTTGACTTCTTTCAATGTTTTTAACATTTAGCCGCTTAAGAAATCATGACTGACATGTTTGCTCACCTGTGGGCAGTTTCTATCGAAGCGGGAATTGATATGTGTTGAACTGTTGTTTTCCATCCCCCAAAATCTGACGTTGATATGTTTTGATATGGTGTTGTCGGAAAATATATGAACATATGGTACGTATATTATATATATATATCCCCTAATCCACTGGTTAACCATCACTTTCCCATTGAACAAGGCTTTTGCATCCTTTTGGGGGATCTCCCATAGATATATTAAATATTTTAGGATGTATCCACATCATATCCGATAAAACAGCAATAATCATCCACCAACCATCATGTACATATATATATATATACATACATACACATTATATACATAATATGTATATATATATACATACACCCTCTTGTTATTTAACAGTTCGCCATGGAAAGATCCACCATTTTTAAGAACCGTAAACCATCTATTTCTATGGGCCATCGAAAAAACCATGGCTTTCCCCTGAGATCTAAGGAGAACTGCAGCCACTACCATCGCGTCGCTGCGGTGCTGCGTCCGGTGGCGTTCTACCAGGAGAAGTACTGCCCCAGCTGGGAGCAAGACAAGACTCACTACAGGGACGCTCGGTTTTCGATGGTTTTTGATGGGTTTTTGATGGGTAGGATGAGATGGGTATGCTAGTTACTATAGTTGAAAGTTTCTGCTGGAAGTGGCAAAGATCGAATCGGATTGACTAAGATACCCAGACCCAGATCTTCCGCTCTCAACTCGAGGAGCTACCAGTATTTATCCCATCTTATCTCATCTTATCCCATTGATCTCCAGCGAATGTAACTCGATTGAATTGTCAATCATTAGGATTTAGGATATATTAGGATCCTGCTTTTGTATCTGCTGGATATCATATATCTCTACCTTCGTATCTTGTTTCTGAAGCAAAATCAGGTCACAACCATTCACAAGCCTCACTGGTCCCTGCTCCACCAATGCTTCACCAAGGATCCAGATTTGGTCAATGACCTGTACCTTTGCACCATCCGCAAGCACAAGCGCGAGTCGCCTCTCTGCGTCCCTCAGCGTCATGAAAAAAGTGACGTCACAGTGGTGTGGGAAGCATCACAGTGGTTGAATATGCAGCATGATTGACCATGAGAATCCTTTGAATCGGTAGAAAAGGATAGAAAAGGCTGATCAGAAAGATCAGAAAGATCAGAAAGATCAGAAAGATCAGAAAGATGGTTACATGATGGATATATGGTATAATCTAACAATAAACCCTGCGTATGGGATCCTGCGTAATTCATCTGGCGATCCTGACAGTCCGCCTGGCCACCCCGCAGACCACGGTGATCCAGTGCAACGAGCAGATCTCCGCGGTAGACAGGCACGCGGTAGACGTTAAAGGAGACGAGGTCTCGTCAGCTCTGGATCAATTTGTGGATGAATTATCATATTCATCCTCAAAAATTGATCATTTCATATGGTTAACCAATGTTAACCATATATTGAGATCAACTATCATAGATTAGCCTATTGATTATCCCAATATAAAAAAAATATGGTTAATTATGGTTGAACCAGTTGATTGAACCTGGACATTTGCAATGGACCCAGAAATGGCACAATTTGCGTCCCCAATAACCCAATGGTTTGCAAACATGATCCGTTGGATGGTTAGTATTGTATAAATATACTATTCTAATAACATATGATAATATAATATAAATTAATATTATATATACACGTGTCCAATTTTCATCATCTTGCCGGGCTCAGTTCGGCTGCGCGTTTTCTGCTGCAGTGCGTGAGGCAATGCTCAGGCAATGCCGGAACCACGGAGGAAACCATGGATTTGGTGTGCAGCAACCCTTGCAGGACGAAACGCTGGCGTTTTGGGAGGGAAAAAGAGGTGTTTGTTTCATCGATTTTATGGTGATTTCATGGCATTTGAATGGAATGTTGATGGGGATGTAATTGATTGGAATAGTTCTGGGATCATTTGAGCAGTGCTCAAAAGCCCTGCTGGTTGAGTGTTGGTTGATTATTACACGGGGTTATACTATTCATTACATTAGGGATTAGCACAATCTGTTGTGGGAAATTCGTTCTTAACCAGCCAGTATAAAGGGACGACATTTCGGGGTTTGAACACTGCTCATTTGTCTTCAAATTGATGTTGTATGAAATTGTTGGACAATATAACATATAACAATAATAATAGAGATATACAGATATCAGTTGAATCCAGATAAAAGTACCCAGCCAAGAAACACAAGGTGATGTATGCAAGATGTTGCAAGGTCAATAGGAATAGATCACAGAGCAATCCCGTTCAATCATCAAGAAGTTTCATGCACCTGGATTTTCCCTAAAACAAGCGGGCTGAATGAAGAAACTTGTGGAAATCACATCATTTAGTCAGCAGCAGAGGTTCCAGTCCTTCCACGAGGAGCTTCATCGAAAGTGCAGCAATGTATTGTGCCAACTACAGCTACCTCATGCACAGCTTGCAGGCCACCCATGGCTCTTCAGCGGTAATCGGTGAATGGAAGCTGGATAAAAAAACATGTAGCTACTGGGGTACAACACGAAAGTATCTGGACTCCTAGTCCTAGTTGATCCTAGTTGATCCTAGTTGGTCCTAGTTGGTCCTAGTTGGTCCTAGTTGGTCCTAGTTTTCTTGAATAAATGAGAAACCATTGCGCAGGCCTACAAGGTCTACATGAATGTCTTTGAATGCAACAGCGCAGGCAGGGAAACGCATCTAGCCACATGTTTGGTGTTGTGGGGTGTAAACTGAAAAAACGAATGGTTCGTGGTGAGGTGCATTAAGTGTTTGTCGATGTACCTCGACAGTCTGGTTACGGAACTCGGAAGGATGTGAACCCTTTTGTGACATGGCTTACACCGCACCATTTTCCACATGAAAGTTGCTATTTTGAGGTTACAGATGTTACAGGCACATGCCATATCGTTATACCGGCCAGAATCAAGGATTCAGATATGTTCAGTGCTTTGGTTCAACACCTGTTTATTTGAGAGTTGGTATTGTTGGTTTACTTATCCATGTTTGTTGATTAAAACATAAATCAACATCCAATGTTCTGACTGCCCCACGTTTGACCAGCTACAAAGCCGCCTTGGCCCCGGCGAAGAGGCTTCCACAGTCAACTGTCCTGTGGGTTTTCCGATGGGCATGAATGGTCATGACATGTATGGCATGACATATGAAGCGATGTATGGTGTGCATATATAAAGTGCACAAAATGTGCATGTTGAAGCAATTGCCCTTCATAACGTTTTGGTATCCAGGGGCGACATCTTTAAAGGCCAAACGTTGCATGGTGTCAGATCATGAACTGACAAGCCATTTGTGTGCACGGGTCCTTCGGTGCCTTATTTCAGGTTGCAGTATTGAAATGTTGGTTGGATATTCTTACTTTTTATTCGGTAGAGCCCCATTTGGCACAAAGTTGGGCTTTCAAGACCAACATTTCTCCTATTGGGGCTACAGATGAGATCTTCACCTCCCTCTGCCCAGTTGAAGATGAAAATCCAGTGGCTGCTTGTATTCGAAGTTGGAAGATGAGGGTGAGGACTGACACATCATTCTGTTCCTTTCGAACAAATCGGCCCCAAACTTGGATCTGCTGTGTACTTGTAGCAAAGAACATGTGCCAAGATCATCTGGTAACTGTAACACAGCTACTCTATGAAAAATGTATGGAAGATTGACCATTGAATTCCATTAACAATTTTTTACAAATGATTTGCCCTTTAAATCATGGTAACATGTTGATTTTCCACAGCGAACTGTGGAAATACCAGAAGGATTATTTTGACCCACTGTCCTCAGGGGTACACACATAGAATCATAGATTGTTTCTTTGGCAGTTCACCAGGTCAGGGCCTCGGTTGTGCACGCGAAAACCGACTCGGTTGTGCACGCGAGAAACCAACTCAGTTGTGCGCGCGGATGCTGGTGTCCTTATGATGGTGATGACAGCGATGATGATGATGATGATGATGATGATGATGATGGTGATGGTGATGGTAATGGTGATGGTGATGGTGATGATGATGCTGCTGATGATGATGACGACGACGACGATGTGTCTGCTGGACAGCAAGAAAGATGATAAGGTTGCTTTGCCTGTTTGTGCACAGGAACATGAACGTTATTGCCCCACCCCACCCCACCCCACCCCACCGGTATCCATGATCAGTGCCTGTGTCTGCTGGACAGCAAGAAAGATAATGACGTTAACGAGCCCTACCCCATCCCCCGAAGGCTCTGTGTGTACAACTGAGACACTTTTGTGTGCGCAAGTGAGTCAGAATCCTGTGTGCGCAACTGAGTCAATTTTGTGTGCGCAAGTGAGTCGCCGACCAGTTCACCAGGCAAGACTCAGAAATTCTGCTATGGTGGAGTCATAGGTTTCTGTACTATTTCCGGAGCACTACTTCGGATGCTGTGGGAACACGAAAAACATGCAGATGTTCCCGGAAATTAAATTTTGGATCCCCGAATGTCAGAATTGTTAATAAGCCCTGATTCATTGAGGATCCTCCCCAAGTGTGATCCTTGGATATAGTTTGCTGCTACCCTCTGGTTATTCAACATAGGTATGGAAAATATCCCAAAGAAATATTTGATCAACATGATGATTAACAGATAGCGATTTTCCAGTTCGCAACGTTAAATTGCCAAAGGGTATAAGCCAAGAATACCTTATTTGGATTTGATGGCTTTAATGAATGTGGATATTAATGGGGTATTAAAAGGATGTAATCCCTTTCATCTAGTATGAAACATATATTATTATAATATATACTAAATATGTTGTATATATAATATATATAATATATATAATATATATATATATAATATATATAATACTTTTAATATATAACACAATATATATGTATAATATTATATATGTAATATAATATATATATACATATGTTTTTTCTTATAAAACTTATATATATATATTATAATATATAGTATATATAATATACAATATATTTAATATATATATATTCTATAATATATATATAGTATATAATATATGTAATATTATATATAATATATAATATTTAATTTATTATATATATTATACATTATATATAATATATATAATATAATATAATTATATTATTATATATATATATAACATTGAATATTTAGAATATATATATATATTATATTATATATTTAAATTATAAATTATATATAATATATATAATATATATAGTATATATAAAATATAATATATATATATATAATATACAATATATATAATACATATAATATGTATTATATATCATGTAGAATATATAGAACATATTAAAAATATAATATATAATATATATATATATATAATATAATATATGTATATATATAATATATAATATAAGTTATATATATAATATAATATATATATATAATATATACTATTTATGTTTTTGTAATATGTATAAAACGTAATTTATACATACATATATTATAAATTTTATATGTTATATATTTTGTATATATGATATTTTGTGAATATATTTTTTTACATATAACACTAATGTTTTACTATTTATATATATATATATATATTATACTATGTTTATTTATTGTAATGTGTATGTATATATATATATATATTATGTTATTATTTTTTGTTTTTATATATATTATAATATATATATATATATTATAACATTTATTCTTTTAGATATTATTATATAGATTTTTATATCTTACGATTTCTTATTCTATACTATTATATCTTTTATTATTTATATATATATAATCATTTATATCCATTCCAGAGGGTAAAGATCCCAAGATCTCCCAAGCATTCTCGTGTCGTCACTGCCAGGAGAATTCTGAACTCTGCGGGCTCGACCGCAGGTGCACGGAGCTGACGGCGGAGAACCTGAGAAGTGATGTGGTACCCCGGTACCCCATTGGATTTATATGGATACCCCCCTTGTAAACGGACCTGAAAGTTATGTGAATATATGTGAATGTTGGTTTATAATCCCATGAAAATTGGAGATATATCATCTATAAACCATAGTTATTGGAGTTATTAACCAATTTAGCTATCGAACAGGGGCACCCCCTTGTGGAAGGGTACCAACAAATGGTGATTTCATGAATGTTTCATGCGATTTTTGTCGGATTTATATTGGATTTAAATGGAATTTAATAAGAAGTTACCCTCTGGTACACTAACATACACCTGAAATAAGAGAGAGAGAGATAGAGCGAGAATTGTAGAAACAAATGGATTTATATGGATTTATAGGGAATATCATTGGGATATTTTATTGGAATCTAACTGTAAACTAACAGTTTGCTACGGAAAATCACCATTTTTAAGAGGTAAATCAACGAACTAAATAGCCATTTTCAATAGCTATGTTACATTACCAAAAGGTAACCATTAGGTTCATTTATGAGATCTTAACCTGATGGAACCTGGGACGGGATGTGGATATCACCTGATTCATGGGATGATTGGGATGATTTAAGATCCCAGTGTCATCGGGACCTGTGTTTGCCACATTAGGATGGTATGAAAATATCCCACGGATGAATTACCCTCTGGTTATGTCAAAATAGCTACGGAAAGATCCACCATTTTGTAGCTGGGAAAATCCACTATTAATGGTCATTTTCAATAGCTATGTTAAATTACCAGAGGGTAATGATGGAACATGATGGAACACCGAACACCCTCAAAACCTCAAATTTCTTTTCAACAACGACTGAATCTTACAGGTTCCGGCTGGCGAACAGCTGACTCGGCGTGACTGTTGTTTATTTGACGAGCTCTTATTCTTCACATGGTGACCATGGTGATGATCACGATAGGATGTTGGTGACATTGATGCAGACCCAAAATCTGGAATTCTGGGAGGACCGGAGCCTCACCTTGTGTAAGCGTCATGGAGAGTTTTTTCAAACATGACACGTATCAGTGGGCAAACTGTCCAAGACACTATTGAAGTCATTTTGGAGTCACACCTGTTACCAAGGCAAAACTTGGATAAAGTCAGTATGGGTCAAAATATGAGATCAGGACCTACGTATTTTTGCCGTAGTTATGTGGGCCTCCAATATGTGGTCTTGGAACCTACCTGTGGCTTATACTCGATCTCATCCTTGGTCCCTGGGAGTCAGCCACCTGTTCTGCAAGACTTCATGTTGTCAGTATTGATTTTAGCAAAAACAAAAACTAAACCTTAGCTTCACTTTAACTAGTGGGGTTCACACAAATGGTTCGTATGTTCTGTTCCTCGTTCCTTCTGTCTATGAGTCGAACAAAATGTGTCACACACCTGCTGCACAGGTCCTCAAAATGAAAGCCCAGCCTCAGGAAAGGCGAGCCAAGCATCCCAAAGCAATCATCATCCAGCCATGGCAGAATCGCCTCGTACGGAGACATTGGATATATGTGAGCATTTCCGCCTACAAAATATACTATATAGTATATAATCTATGTATATGTACATATGTATGTACATATATATATATACATCTGTATGTACATATATATATACATATGTATGTACATATATATATATACATATATATATATATGTACATTACACATACATACATATGTGATTTGATTACACTGTTTTGTAAGTTGTTTTTTCTCTTGCTCTACAAACCAATCAGCGCAGCAACACCGGAACCCAAAGCGGTTCGTGTCCGTCGTCGAAGCCATGGGTACGTCCTCCTCCATCGAAGAAACCGAAGATCTTCCGCCGATGATGTCACTGGGCGGGAAGAATCCGACCGCATCTCTATATATATATTACTATATAATTGATATATATATATGGCTATATATGACTATCATAGATATATGTGGATCTATAACTATCTATCTATCTATATCTATATATGTGACTTATAATCGAATAGTTATTGAATGTATTTATGTGCAGAATTGTGCATATTATACAAAATAGGGTATCATGTGGATGTACATTACCAGCCATATATTGTAATGTGATCGGATATGTGTATAGTATATATATATATATATATATACAAAACCAACCATTTGATGATAGTTCATCAACTATATTATTTCGGATATCATGAGGATTTATAACCAACAAATGCACTAGTAGATAAAATGGGATATATGGGGATCCAATCAGATATGCTTTGGTAAGTTGCAATCACTACCAATCATGGATACTCCATCTCCTTAATACCAAATGTACTTCCAGCAATATTGCCAATATTGAACAATCGACAGGGACACCAAAATGAATAGTCAGGGCCAGTACTAAACCATACTAATCCACGATTTTTCGTTTGGGGGGTATCTGATTTTCAGGGATTGGAATCAACCGCAGTCACCAGCAAACCTTGGTGACACAGCTGTCAGCTAGTGATGATGTGTCAGCTAGTGAAACACTCGGAATTGATAAACTTTGGAATTATTTAGATAATTCTAAATATACATAGTATGTATATATGTATATATGTAGTATATTGGTAGTTTTTGGTCATTATTGGTCATTTTCAGTCGTACAGACCCCCTTCCTTCGGGTACTGACGTTTGACCCACAGGCAAATGATTTACTGACAAGATGAGTAAAGGTTGGCCATCAGAGCACGAGGACATGGACTACTTGGATGCGCATCCCACTTTCTGGTATAATGACTATGACATACTATGATTGTGAATATCATTCATATATATGTAATTATATATATATTATATTATATATATATTGACGATACTGAAATGCAAAGTGTGTCTTTACACTGACAAGATATATTTATTATGTAATTATATATGTATACAATATAGTGTTTGTGTGTCTCAGTTTACATTTCATAATATTGACCACAAGATACACATGCTGACTTCGCTGGGAAGGTACGCCCATCCGCCCAAGCATGTGTTCGCCAGTTCTTCGCGGGAACGACAGGCAGAGTTGCACCGACCAATACGTTTTTTTTAGTGGGAAAGTACCCTTTGGTAAACTAACATTTTGCTTTGGAAAATCACAATTTTCAATGGGTAAATCCATTGTAAATCACCATGTTCAATAGCTATGTAACAAATTACCAGAGGGTATCTCAGAGGTTGGTTTTTATGTCCTAATTGAACATCACCCAACAGGGATATCATCATCATCTCCAAGAAATATTTCTTTAAGTGAGGACATTTACATACATTTACCACACCCTGTATGGGAAACCATGTTTTGGTGGCGGCGCCTGTAAGGGGTCGTGCATTTTCTCATTGCTTCACGTTGGGGTGGGGTGGTGTGGGGCAAGAACGTCCTTGCACTTGCACACCCACTTGCTGTTACGTCATATATTTTTCATCTTGCTACGTCATATGAACTTCTCTAGCACTTCCACATCTTCTTCACACTATGTTATACACTTCTCTTGTTGCTATGTTCTAAGAAGTTCTCTAGCACTTCCATATCTTTTGCTCGTTACTGTGCGTTATATAATGTTCTTGAGGCTACGTCACAAGAACTTATTTTGTAAATCTACTACAACTTCACGCTACGTTACATGAATTACCTGATGCTTCGTCACAAGAACTTCTCTAGAGTCGATGATACGTCATCATAATTATCTTGTGCTTCTAATACAAGTTCAAGCTATATTACAATATCTATGTCTAAATATGTATATGTAGATATAACGTGATACAAATTTGTCCCCAAACAAGTTTGACCCGCCAGAAAGACGTTAGAAAACTGCGCGAAGTGGTGGAGGGGTTGTCGAAAAAATACTTCCTCAGCAAACCCTTGCATGGGTTTTGCCATTGTTTTTCTAACATCGATTTACAAACGCACGGGTTTTTAGAGGCGCCGGCACCATGTTTTTCCCCATGGAATTTTGAGGTTTGGTGTAAGTGTTCCCTTACCTAATCCAATGAATGTATGTGTATATATATATACATACGGATATACATACAGGAAGATTGAATCTCAAAGCCACTAAAACTCAGGGTCTTCCTATTAGACTTGAGGAGAATCTTCTTCAGATGGAGGGATTTGTCAGTCATCCCATACCCCAGTGATCCCCCTCCATATGACCAGAACGGCAGCTGGATAAATAACCCCTTTTGCAGCCAGGTCTAAAACATGAATTGCGGCTCTGGTTCTGATAGCATCCTCACATTTTCTTGGTTACACACTTTGATCCTAAAATTCTTAGGTCAGTGACTGGTCGATATTGGTAATTTCAAATCGTTTTACCCTCCAAACCCTGGAAGCGAGGATGCTCTACAGTCTTTTTTAACAACCCAGCAGTTTATTTATTTTCACAAATAAACATTCCCATTCATGCCCAGATCATTCATGCAGTAGATGTATGGAGTTGTTAGTTGAACTAGTTGAATGCTAGTTGAATGAATAAAAACCATCAATTCCATGTCTTTTTCTGGGCAAATTATAATAATTCACTAATCTGAATAGTGCGGCCATAAAAGGGGATGATTCCCCTATAAAAAACCATGATTTCCAGGGTTCGGTCATAGTGAGGTCGTGATCAAATTTACCCAGCTTTTTTGTTGGTGAATACCCACCATCCCTGGGCATTGTGGCGCTAAAATCTCGCTGCCACATGCCCAGAAGGATGGGAAAAACTCAAGGGAAAAATTCATGGGCACCCTATGGCACCCTCATGGGAAAATCATCTGTAAATGGTGATTCAAATGGGAAAATCATCTGTAAATCTCATCTGGATGGTGTTGAAACAACTAGTTCTTCCAGTTCTTCCATGAAATTCCAGGCTGATGAACCAGATTGGCTGGCTCATGTTTTCGATGGCTTGAAATGACCAACCACTTACAGTATATCTTTCAGGAGAAAAAGCACCCTGCTTTCCCGATGAATTTGGGGTCTGAAAACGAGGTCAACCCCCCCCTAGATGGCCATTGAATAGGGAAAGAAATTGTACAATCCATTGGTCTTGGGGATATTTTACTCATTTTCTTATGGATTACAAAGAGAATTTATACCATTACACCATAAGAAATATTTTCACCATTACAAATCCATAGAAATATGTTTCACCATATTTTTCTTATGCTTCTATTACAAATCCATAGAAATCCTGAATTCAAACACCAATTTATATAAGTAAGATATGCATAGATATCTGGTTGGTAGTGGTTTGGAACATTTTTTATGACTTTCCATATATTGGGAATGTCATAATCCCAACTGACGAACTCATATTTTTCAGAGGGGTAGGTCAACCACCAACCAGATATATATATACACCATTTAATATAATGAACCATATACATACTATACATACTATGGTTAGTTTATAGTTAATATACTTAATATACTATGGTTCATACTATGGTTAAAACAAACTATAGTTAAGATATCCATAGATATCCTCATGGCACCATTCATAGGTCGCCGTTTTTGGTGCAGGACTTCGCCCGCTTGTGGGAGCAGTACGTGGCCGGAGGCATGCAGAGTTCCAGCGTCACACGGCCGCTGCTGCGGGAGGTGCACCGTTGGCAAAGTTGGAGTCACCTCCCATGAACTATAAGATATCCATAGATATCTATAGACTATAGATATAGATATTTTATAGATATCTACTATATAATATTATATAGTTATATGATTATATAGATATAATTATATATAACTATATATTTATATTGTATAGATATTTTATAGATCATATCTACCAGATGTCGGAGACGTGGAGTTAGATGTCAGGAAGAAGGTTTGACAGGGATCTTTGAAGTTGGGAGGGGGTGGTAGTGACATTGGGCCAGTGCTAAGTTGGATATTGTGACGTGATAAATGAATTTATATATACATATATATATATATATATATGTACATATATATATATATACATATATGTACATATATATATAT